TACACACACAAAATAACTGAAGGAACAGACTCACATTATTCCAAAATCAAAATAGTTTAAGGTAACAAGCAGTTAAAGGGCATGTCACAGTGTACACAACCCCGTCGGCAGCTTTAGAACTACTGCTACTCGAAATATTTAACTGTTTATGCAAAACACCTGTAACCTTTTCCAGTTTCAGATTTTTATTATCTCCTTCACAGATCCTGTTATAGCATCTATCAAAACCTATGGGTCCAGCTCTGAAATACTGTCATCACATAATGCCTGTGTGCTCTGTTAAATTCTTAATGGATAACATTTTCTGCAACAGTATAAGCCCTGGATTGTTTCTGCACAAAACAATATTCCAGTACGTCCTGAAGAGACCCCATACAAAGGTTGAAAACAGCTACTGTCCATCACATTTGGGTTTATGCTTTAAAATGCTCTGTACACAGTTGCATTATCTTAACCAATTTTTTTTTGGGGGGGGGCGGTGCTGGTTTTGGGGCTTGAACTCCAGGCCTCAGTACTGTTCCTGAGCTTCTTTTGCTCAAGGCTAGCACTCTACCACCTGAGCCACAGCTCTCCTTCAAGCTTTTTGGTGGTTAACTGGAGATAGAGTCTCATGGACTTTCCTCCTAGGGCTGGGTTCAAGCAGTAATCCTCAGAACTCAGCCTCCTGAGTAGCTAGGATTGTAGGCATGAGCCACATGCCCGGCTTAACCAACTTTTAAAGGGACTCGCTATGGTATTGTATCTCACACATCCCAACTGCATATATGAACTAAATATAATCCAAGGCTCCATACTGGTTCTTAAGTTTCATAGTAAAATGTCCAGACACAGACCCTTCAAACAGTATTCACAGTACTGGTAGTGACAGAAATTGTTAGCAAGGATTATTTTTGTTTGAAAATTTAGGATTACAGAAAATGCTAAAGCAATGATCGCCTTAGAAAGGTTGGGGGAGTGGCTCAAGTAGTAGAGTGCTTGCCTAGCGTGCACAGGCCCTGAGTTCAACGGGCCACCAAACAAAGGGAAAGAAATCTCATCAGACACTTAGAACTTAATAGATATGAGGTGACAGGTTTTCTAACACAAGTATGACATTGATCTGTGACTGTCCATTGTCCAGATCAACATGCTATTCAGTTTTCTCCTACTTCTGTAATTGCTTGTTATTTGAATGACACATATACAGTTCTAGTATCTAATCTCGCTCTTGTCTCTTCTTTTCTTTTTATGCTTTTTTTTTTTCAAGACAGGGTTTTGGCCTTGAACCCCAAATCTTCCTGTCTCAGCTTCTCAAGTACTGGGATTACAGGTGTGCACCACTACATCCAGCTTTCTTTCTAATTCTTGTAACAGTTTCTAGTTTCTGTCTTAAGTTTATGCAATTTAGTTTTTAAAAACTTATTTTTAATGTCCAACTAAGAAACACCAAACATCAAAACAGTTCTGTCTTTAACAGGCAAATTGGTTGCTTTGGCAATGTATAAAACAATAACTATTATAGTATAAATCATTTTAATCTACTTTTATTAAATATTCAAATGCAATAAGGCAATTATTACTTTAAGAAGTTTAAAACTGAGTTTAATAAATGGATAACTGGCCCCACACCTGACGTATTACACCCCTGCTTTTCTTCTCTACTCTATGAAACCAACATCGTTTTGAAGAAGTGGTCTCTCTGAAATCATCTCAAAGAGGTTCTGATCGCAACTACAGTATTACTTTCAATATAAGCATCCAAAAACAAAACAAAAAAACAAAAAAGCAAATGAACAGTATCTTCTGTGGCTTTCCTTTCATGTGTCTACCATCAACTTTTGTATCCAGTCTTGACAGCACAGCCCAAAGCATCCCTACTAAGAGCAAGCACACACCATCTACTGTGCCGTCTGCCACTGGAGGGGGCAATGATTCCCAAACCCTACTTCCTGTCAGGACCATTTGGGAAACAGAGTTGCAGGCTCCCCCTCAGATCTAATGAAGTAATCTTCTTCCCAGGAACATGTGGTCAGTCTTACATAACCTAACATTTGGAATGACTAAAGGACAATGTTATCAGAGAGTAGGATCCAAAAAAAAGACAAAAGACAAAATGTGGGGTTGTTGTTGTCCTAAATGATCAGTGAGTAGGGTGACTGGAAACATGCCTAGTCTAGTGGTGGTGGACCCAGCAAAGCCAGCTCTGTTACCCACTGCATGAAAGCCAGCACCTTTCTGGCGCTGAGCAGCGGGCAGGCAGATGTCGGCCTAGAGAAGGCACACACCACTTCTCCATCTCTGCTTCTCCATTTTCTCACCTTCTTTTCATCTTTCCTCTTACTCTTACTTCTGCCGTCCTCCCATTGTCCTCTCTCCTCTCCTCATCTCACTTCCTCTCTTTTCCTTCTTGAGTTATTATTCATGTACACCATTCTTTTCTTCTCTACTTTCTCTTCCTTGGAAACTCTCCCTTACCTAACAGAAGCAAATTCATTCTGGAGCTCTACGTCAGGAAGCATTCAGCCAGAGGACACTGACCACCAAGGCAAATGAGAACCTCAGCGGCAGCACGGCTGTGGCAGGACGAACCTCACGGAGGATTTTCCAGTCCCTTTCCTCTGCTGAGTCAAATCTTCTGATGGGGTTTGAAGGGCACACCAACTGTGCTTAAAAACCTAAGGCACGGAGAAGGTTACGTGACATGCCTGAGGTCTCTAACCAAGAGAAGAATCCAGATCTGGTTCACAATCTGGTCTTCCTGTGGCTACACCCATACCTGACCAAAGGCAAAACGAAGAGGCCAGGAGTGGGCCAGTGTTGTTCCAGGCTCTAGGGTGTCCAGAGATAACTTAATGACCACGTAGTTACCATATATATGCATATATATATGAAATACTCTTCATAAAATTATATATTTTCTTAAAATATAAATCGAGATTCTCCCAATTCTTTTAAGATGACTACTTCATACAAATAAAGTCTGACTACATTTTAAAATCTTTCCACTTTGGCAATACTATAGCCCAGAGATAGTTCCGAGGTCAGAATTGTTCTAACACACAAAGAATATAATTTATATAAAATGCATAGGCACGTTATGTTCTATGAAAGACTACTTACACTGAAAAAGCATGCAATATATTGTTATTTAACCTTAACTCTGGAAATTGCATTTCTGAAGACTTCACAAGGAAATTACCTTGTCTAAAGATAAAATTCAGGAAATTCACTATTAAGAAACATTCTGTTGATAACATTAATCTTATGTAAAACAGTAGACAGCCTTTACCATAACCTGATTTATGATAAAATGATCATTAGCTCGAGTCTGAAGAGACCAGAGGGGTCTTTTGGCTCATCTACAATGTACATGGTGGGACAGTATGAACTGACCTACAATACAAAGGAGACTGCAGCATTTAGCCCTGTGACTAAAGCATGGACACTACCATCAATGCAATCACGTCAGAGCAGAGTCTCATCACTGACTGAGAAAATTAAATCTTTGGGATCTTATGGTCATAAATTTGTAACTTGCCACTAACACCAATTGACTCCTCTAATTTCAACAAATGTGGCATCCTAACTTCAATGTTAACTTTGGTTAAAAAAATAATAATCCATGATTCCCAAACCAGTTGATATCAAAATTATCTAAGCTTATTTTAAAAACCATAATCATCACGTGCTTGCATTTGCACCCTGATTCTATAAACCATCTATGTGATATTTGAAACAAGCAAGGAAATTTGTGTCAAGGACTGGCTATCAAAAGGAGTCAACCTACTGTTGCTACTTTTATCCTCATGAATACCAATGAAGTATTCACACCAGTGAAATAACATGATGTCTGAGGTTTTAAGGTATTTCTTTAAAAAAAAAAAAAAGGGGGGGAACAAGGGATGGAGGAGGAAGAAGAGAAGGCAGCAAATATAGTAAGAAACTGGGTATTGGTTAAATTTTATTTATTATTTTTGCAGTGCTGGCGTTTGAACCCAGGGCCTTAAGCATGTTAGGCAAGCACTCTACAACTGAGCTACACCCTCAATCCACTCTTATGTAATTTTGTATTTCTTCCTCTTCCCATCTCTCCTTTGGACTCCTTCCTAGACAAAGTATACTGTACCTCCAAAGGGTGAAGCTCAGGCCATCTATTTTTTTAGCAAGCTATTTACAGTCTTACATAGCCAGGCAGAGGTTATTGTCATTCATGGACCATTTGAATGAATACGTATGTGTGTGTATGTATGTACTTAAAGTTTTTAGGCTTCTCACTTTTTGCTCACAAGTGACACCATAAGGATTCTCATTTTCTACTGAGCAAACTAAATTTCAACAGTTCTTACTTCACTAAAACACTGTGCCAAGAGTATACAGCTCTTGATTCCTAATCTACCTGTTTTAAGAATAGTAAGCTGGTTATTAACTTCTCTTTTGGTGGGGGAAAGGGTATCAACTTCTACTTCACCTTTTTAAAGCTTCTCTCAGTCTGTCTCTGGTTGAAACACACAGGACAGTGCCATGCTCTCATCACTTCATCCTGTATACTCCATGCTCACACTGGGTACTGGGTCTCACAAAGCCAGATGTTACAGTGTTCACATGACTGATATTTTACTTCATGATTCCCTCTTGTCCAGTTAAGCATTAAATAGCCAAGATGGAATAAGAAGGCAACCATGCAGAACTGGTAAGCCATGTGCCCTAGCGTACATGCTAAGTAGTCAGAATGTAGAACTATCGCAGGTTAAGAATGGCAATACAGGTAATCCTTTTCTCATCTTCAAGATGTAAAAAACTTGTCTTTAGGGAAGAGAGCCAGGTGCTGGTGGCTCATACTCGTAAACCTAGCTACTCAGGAGGCTGAGATCTAAGGATGGTGGTTCCCATGCCAGCCTGGGCAAGAAAATCTGAGAGACTCTTATCTCCAATAAACTACTCAAAAGAGCCAGAAGTGGCACTGTAACTCAAGAGGAAGAGTACTTGCCTCGAGCAAAAGAAGCTCAGGGATAGCGCCCAGGCCTAGAGTTCAAGCCCCGAGACCAACAACAACAAAAAAACACCTAAGAAGGTATGCACACTACCCTAATAAAAACAACTATAATTCTGTGTAAAAGACTTCTTGATCCAAGTATCCACTGAAGATGTCTAACTTGAAGTAAAGCTCTATATATTTGCTTCTTCAAAAAATGTCTTGTAAAGCCATTTTGAGGTAGAAGAAAAGTCTAAATGGACCTCTTTTTTCTATGCTGGCAAAATTAAACTTTCTGGTCACAGAAGTACTTAGCTATGCTTTTGGTCCATTGCATTTCCCATTCCCACTAGGGCTTCTCACTTTATTATCAACACAGTGTAGTTTGCTTCCAGAATGCCCAGCAAATTTTTAAATTTTTTCACTTATAGTGATTTAGAAACAAAGTCCCAAAATATCCTAGAGCTGTGTTTTGGCAAGACAGTTTGACACAAACAAAATGAAAACATTGTATTTCTCAACACACACACACACACACACACACACACACACACACACACGTATGCCTCAAAGTGTTTACCTGTTTCTTTTCTCATACAGCTCAATTTTTTTTTAATGTGCAGCTTACTTAAAATCTAAAAATAAATTTAAACACGATTGTCACAAAAATATCGTAGAAGAGAGATGAAATGTATAAGGGTACACATAGATTGTCAATGGTTACATTGGTTATATCACATTTCTTGAAAACAGAACTTTTCTGCTCCTGTAAACAACTTTTTCCCACATGTGTAAAGTGAGGTTAGTGCTGACATCATTATTGCTATACTCACAGTTTGAATGTCTCCATTGTGTATGAGGTACATTTTCTCCATCCATACACACACACCGCTCTTACTCACTCAAGAGTAGGAGCCCACACAGCTACAGGCTACAACCACTCAATGTTTTCAACACTGGAATGACAGGAAGTCATGCTACAAATATCAGAGATCGAATGTCTTCTGGTTGGAGACCCAGATTCTTCATTACATGAATAGACTGCTCTGTTAACTTCTTCAGGAAAATAAGATTACTCAGAAGATAAACAATCTCATGCTAAATACTTCATCCAAGAATACTCCTTCCATTTGTCCTCTGACACTTTACTGTTTTAGCCTCTGAATTTAGCAGCCACCAGAGTCACCTTTCCTCTCCAGGTCTGTCATAGCGTTCTCTTATGCTCTTCGCTAGTTGTTTGATAAACACTCTGTAAATTTTCCCACAGTAGGTATGCACTGTCTTCTGTAGTTCCAGTTCTAAAGGCTCTAATAAGGAACGAACATCATCATCTTCAAAGGAACACTAGAGAAAGAAAACAAAAAGGCAAAGAAACATATAAAAATTACCTAAATGATTTCTTCAATCAGTTTAGTATTAACGATCTCCATTTAATATCTAAAAATAACATGCTCAAAAAAATCACAATTTGAAGATAGCTTGGGTAGAAAAGTCTGTGAGACTCTTATCTCCAATTAACTATCATTAAAAAAAAAAAAAAACTCCAGAAGTGGAGGTATGGCTCAAGTGGTAGAGCCCTAGCCTTAAGCAAAAAAGCTAAGTACCTCACACAGACAGGCCACTTAACTTCAAAGTCAGTGGAAAATGCTAAATCACAAAAGAAACTCATAATCTGAAACTGAGAGTTGCAAGGGACCCTCTGGGATACTTCCTGCAGATACTTTGCAGGAAGCCAGTCTTCCAAGAGTGCCAGATGCCCGTGGCAAATGCCTATAACCCTAGTTACTCAGGAGGCTGAGATCTGAGGATCATGGTTTAAAGCCAACCCGGGCAGTAAAGTCTGTGAGTCTTTTATCTCCAAATAACCACCAAAAAAGCTGGATGTGGAGCTGTGGCTCAAGTGATAGAGTGCTAGACTTGAACAAAAAAGCTCAGAGACACCACCGAGGCCCTGAGTTCAAACCTGAGGACTGGTACATACACACAGACAGGTACATGGAGTCTCTTGATATGAGATGTTTTCTGAGATAAAAACAAAACCAATTCTCAAGAAGTAGGCCTCCAAACATCATCATTCTCCTATCCTCACCTCCTAAATGATGAGATTACAGGCATGTGCCACCCTACTCTGGTATGAGATCTTTCTCTTTTAAAACACTACAAGAACAAACTTGCATGCTTTGTTGGAGGCTGTGCCTTTACCTGACTGCTCCTTTCCTTTGGGACCTGGTATTCATCAGCCTGACAACTGGGGCAGAGGTCAACTCCTCAGACAAGCCATTCTCACACAGTTCATTGTCACACAAACCTTTTGGAAGGTCATACTTTATAACTAAGGCTGTTAGTTAAAACTGGGAGTAAGTAAATTGTAAGGCTGTGATGATCACAATTAGGCACTCAGGAATTTTCAAACAGCTGAAGCTGTATGAAAAATACAGAACAGCAGTTCAGCATCCAGCAAAACCTGAGTGTTGAACACATACACATACACAAACACACAGAGGTACTATGGTAGAGAATATTCAAGGCTCCTTTGCAAAGACAGCTATGCAAATATAAGCAGAGTATGAAGTAAAACAAAATAACACAGGAACACAAGGAAACATAGTAATTCAGAATGAAATACATGAAGCAGAAAATACCCTACAGAGCCATAAAATGTTGTTCTGTTTTTAATTTGTAGTTTTTTAACTTAATATTTTTATTTACTGAGCAACTAATATTTAACCAATATGTATAGACTGCAAAAACTGATTTGCTGACAAAAATCGCTATGCATTTTAAAGATAGCTTACATCCTTTGTAATTCATACCATTTATTGTATTCTCTGATTATGACTAAGTTTCTTCTGAAAACTGAATAAATAGCCGTGTTTGAATGCAATTCTTTAAAAAATTACACTTCTCATTGAATTATAGATAAGAATATAAACCAAGAGCATCATAAAAGACTGATTAAATTCATTAAGCTGAAAAATGAATAGATATAAGCTGTAGTTAATATAGACCCAAAACAAACACCAAAAATCATTAATTCAGTATTTGAAACCATTTTAAAAATAAGTTCTATTGTTTTAAAATCAAGTACAATTAATCACCTTAAAACTTACTCAGATTTTAAAAGGCATGTAATTCTAAGCCAAAACAGGGAGAAAAATCAAATAAAATCAGAAATACTTCACTAATAACAGATATTTTAAAATGCTCAAAAAGAAACAATCTCATTTTTATAGGAACGCATTTCTTTTCTATCCTGCAGTCTCAGAACCCCAAAAGTACTTTTCTTCATTTTTATCACCTCTGAAAACCCCTAATAAAGCAACATTAAAATATGATATTAATTTCTGAAGGCATACAAGGCCTGTTACATTAAAATGAAAATCAACATAAATGTGTAATTCTTCAGTGAGTATAGTTATATCATGATAACCTGATTTACTTAATAACTTTATCTGTCAAGTTTATAAGACAAGAAACTTAGCAATTATTCCACAAAAATATCAGCCTACAATGCTGAGTATTTCTGGTCTACTGCTGAGTCGAGAAACCCTGATCTTGGGAGAAAACAATTCCTTCTCAAGGTGGGCCATCCCATCAACATAGTTTATCTTCCACTTCCATTCCAGCCACCAAAACCTTCATCTCTCCCTTGACAATGCCAGGTCTCTCTTTGGACCTTTGCCCGGCCTCGAAACCTTTCTCTCAGTCCAACTAGCTCACTCATCTAGCAAATGCTTAGTCATTCTTTGGGCCCATTTCAAATAGCACCCTTCCAACAGGGCTTTCCCTAACCTGTCAAGGCAAATCTTCAAAACTCTTTTTCTAGTGAAGTCTCTCTCATAATCACTTACAGTGTCTTTATTTGTACTGCTCTCAATGAGACTATACTGTATACTAGTTCCAGGTTTTCATTAGCAAAAAATGTCAACCCAGCAGAGGAGTCATCAGCTCTTCTAACCCCAAACCCTTAGGCCAAACTAACATTTCTATTGTGTTTACTCTTCACATCTACTAACATTAAGCAATCTAGCTGAAGAGAGTACATGTGAGTGGCCCTATATGCTTCTCGCTGGACAGCAATGAATTAACTGACTGCTCCTTGGATTTGTCCTAAGTCAGGGCCAGAAACAGTCAAAGCTCTGGTTCAAGTGTCCATCTAGAGGTTTTGAGGTGTAATTATTCGCCCTATTAACTGACTGTAATCATACAAAAATTTTCTTGTAAAAACAAGGAGAGAACAGACACTAGGGCGAGGAGAGAGGAGCAATGTAATTGTTTCTAAAATCATTACAAAGTAAATGCTTAAAAGAGAAAGATTTCAGCTGGGCGCTGGTGGCTCACACCTGTAATCGTAGGTACTCAGAAGGCTGAGATCTGAGGATCATGCTTCAAAGCCAGCCCAGGCAGGAAAGTCCATGAGACCCTTATCTCCAATTAACCACCAGAAAAACCCTAAGTGGCACTGTGGCTCAAAGTGATAGAGCACTAGCCTTGAGGCTCACGGACAGTGCCCAGGCCCAGAGTTCAAGCCCCACAACCAACCAAAAGAGAGAGAGAGAGGGTGGGGGGGAGAGGGAGAGGGAGAGGGAGAGGGAGAGAGATTTCACAACAGAGTAGGGTGGAACATGCCTGTAATCTCATCATTTAGGAGGTGAAAACAGGAGAATCATGTTAGGGCCAGCTAGGGCTATACAAGAAAACATTCTCTCAAAACAAAGAGAAAGCCCTATTTATAAGTACAATAAATGAACAAACAAAATACTTAAATTTAAGACATGTCCAAAACATATAAGAAAGCTGTAAAACATGTCTAAAAGCCGTTTTTTCTCCATTACAATATCTCGGCATCATTATTTTAGTCTGTTTTCTGCTGCTTTAATAAATACATATAGGTAGTTTATAAAGAAGAGGATTATTAGCTCACAGCCCTCAAAATCCAATATGTTCCAGTACGTGGTAGGCTTCTAGGGCAGAAAGTGGAAGAGAAGCAGGCACATGCCCAAGAGGGCCTAGAGGAGGTGCCCAGCTCACTTTGTAACAGCCTACTCTCAATAACTATCTATTCCCAATGGAACTCTATGAATCCCTTTATGGGAATGAAACCCCTTCACCTTAATTTCTTCTCAGAAGTCCTACTACCTGTTAAATTTAACAATTAACTTTCCACATGAGGACCAGGATTTGAACTCAGCCTCATCCACTCTCAACTTGCTTCCCCATAGCTGGTGGTCTACCACTTGAATCCCTCCTCCAACCTGGCTTTTTGCTGACTAATGTTTTAGAGACTGACTCTCACAGACTTGTCTGCCTGGGCTGGCCTCAAAACATGATCTTCTAGGGCTGGGAAGGTGGCTCAGTGGTAGAGTGCTTGCCTTGCATGCCTGAGGCCCTGGGTTCGATTCCTCAGCACCACATAAGCAAAAAGAAAAAAAAAAAAAAAAAAACATGATCTTCTAGGTCTCAGCCTCCTGTGTGCCATGAGCAACTGACTCCAAGAGGAGTTTTCTTTCTTTCTTTTTTTTTTTGGTAGGTCCTGGGGCTTGAACTCTGAGCCTGGGCACTGTCCCTCACCTCTTCAGCTCAAGGCAAGTTCTCTTTTGGTTTTCCAGTGTTTTATTGGAGATAAGAGTCTCATAGACTTTCCTGCCCAGGCTGGCTTTGAACTGCAATCTCAGATCTCAGGCTCCTGAGTAGCTAGGATTACAGGCGTGAGCCACGGGTACCCGGCTCAACATGAGTTTTCATGGAGATAAAGTACATCCAGCCCATGATATTAGTCCCTGACTTAATATGAATTAAAATAAAAAAAAAAAAATAAAATTATCAAGATGATTTTTACAACACATTCAAGGAAATACACAATAGCTAGGATATTACTAAAAAGGATAAGCCATAAAGAGGGAATGGCCCTACCAGATATTAAAACATAAAAGAAAGCCGTTACAACTAGCATTGTAACAACCAATGGGAAAAACAGAAAATGCAGAAATTACTCCTGGGTAAATGACTCACATTTATAATCCTAGCAACTAAGAAGTAAAGATCACTTTGAGAAAGAACCAACTGAGAATACAAGACTTAGTAGAGAAGTTTTGATAAGAAGCAGAGGGTTTACATGATTTTAGACTATCCCCACCCACTGCTTACTACATAAAAGGGCAAACTAGATGAAATTCTTTGCATTATTTTTGCAAACCCTCCACAAACTTGCAAGGTTTTTCAAATAAAAAGTTCCTCCACAGTATGGAAGACATAACATCACATATGGATGATCAGAAGCAGGCTAAACTGAACTAATCAAAAGAAAAGAGGCCAAAATAAAAAATACAAAACAAAAAAGAAAGAAAGAGAGAGAGAGAGAGAGAGAGAAAGAAAGAAAAAGAAAGAAAGAAAGAAAAGAAAAGAAAGAAAGAAAGAAAGGAAGAAAGAAAGAAGGAAGGAAAAGAGGTAGAGATGGTAACAGATTTTAAGTACCAATATTACATTTTCTGAGCTTAGTATCTATATTGTGACTGATAAGAGAATGCTGTTATTTTTACAAAACCCACCAAAGCATTTAGGGATAAAAGTAATGCACGCAACAACAAATAATTCAGAAGAATATACAATGTAGAAAGAGAACAATAAAGCCAACAGGGCAAACTGTTAGTGACTGATGAAACTAAGTAAAAGATTTGTAGAAATTCTTTGCATTATTTTTGCAAACCCTCCATAAGCTTGCAAGGCTTTTCAAATAAAAAGTTAGAAAAAGAAAAAAAAAAGGCAAGCTTACATTTCTTAGGGCTTCATAAACAGCTCTGAACGCTGGCTGCTTCTCATCATGGTAGACACCCCTGTTCCCATGAAGAATGGAGATTCCTCCTTCCTCGGCTTCCAGACAATTGCTCCCATATATACAGTGATCCGGTCGATAATTCCAGTGACACGGAAAAACAAAAAGGCTTTCTACATGAAGAAAAATCAAACAATGAAGCACCTATTCCTAATTCTAGAAAACTTAACACTTTGTAAAATTGTAATGTATAAATATAGCTTTGTCAGAATAAGACTTTACTTAATTAAGACAGTAGAAAATATTCCCTGGCTTTACATTTTTTCTAACTAAATCATTATTTGAGGGAAGACTTACTCTGTCTCAAATGTAAATAAATAGTGACGATCATCAGTATAAGCCAAGTCAAATGAATGAGTCTTTCTTTCTGACTAATTATTGTCTATGATTGTTTCTACAAATGCCAAGGACAAAAGGAATTTACATGATTACCTGGATTATGAAAAAACATGATATTCAATAGGTCTTGATCACCCCAGGTGATGTTTAGCTTGTATTTTTTAAGCAGTGGCATAAGTATGTCTCCCCATTGTAGCCGTACAGTTGTCATATCATTCTGTTGATAAAAACATCCAAGAGTCTCAGAATTTCAAGTTCACATTCCTCTCTTAACAAACCTCACAGAAGCACAAGAAGAAATGTAAACTCCTTTTGTTATTTAGAATACTAAAAGTGAAAAGCATAATACATAACAAAAGAGCCAGGCACTAGTGCCTCACACAAACAATCCTAGCTACTCAGGAGGCCGAGATTCTGCCCAGGCAGAAAGTCTGTGAGTCTCTTGTCTCCAATTAACCACCAGAAAACCTGAGTGGAGCTGTGGATCAAAGTGGTAGAGCAAAACATCTCAAGGACAGAGCACAGGCCCTGTGTTCAAGCCCCCTGACTGACCAAAAAAAAAAAAAAAAAAAAAGGATAACAAAGAATCTGAAGCTACATTTAATAGCGAAAAAGCTACGAGGCAACAAAGAAAGGGAAAGTAGCAATTGGTGCTACATCTTCATTTTAAGATGTATTTTGAGAACATGAGACAATCTTAGTACAGTGTGTTACTATAATTTTCTATTGTCTCATTATTATTGTTAATATTCTCCTGGTCCCAATTACAAACTGAACTCAGCTCTGCCTGTAGTTTGGTATGCCCCAAACTTCCAGGTATCCACTTAGGGGTCTTGGTTATCAATCCTCTTCTTATTCCTCATAAAATCAGTAATGCACAAAAAAAAAACGATTATAAAGTTTAGAGATTACTTCAACCCCTACATCTCTATCAGTAGCTAACTTAAAACATGCCACAGGGATGGGAAGGTGGCTCAGTGGGGTACAGTGCATGCATGAGGCCTTGGGTTCCATTCCTCAGCATCACATAAGCAGAAAAAGCCAGAAGTGGTGCTGTGGCTCAAGTGGTAAAGCTAGCCTTGAAGAGCCTGAAGAGCTGAAGGACAGTTCCCAGGCCTAGTGTTCAAGCCCCAGGACCGGCAAAAATAAATAAATAAAAAGCAAAAACCACAAACAAAAGGATAAGAGGAGAGGCAAAAACTACTGAGGTATTTAAGAATGGCATATAGTTCAAAAAGCTAAGTAAAAAAGTAGAATAAACTATACAGACAGTTATATAGCTATTTTTTAACTTTTAAAATCCAAATGGTGTTAAATTATCTCTATGGTTTTATGCAACACTAAACTCATAATTCTACAAATTTCCATGCAGTTATTGAGAAATATTATTTCTTAGTAGATAATCTTATAGCACCATCTTCTGGTATAATATTACCAAGCATAGTCTAATAATCAGAAAATAAGAAAATCATGTTAGGCTGGTTTTTACTTGGTCAAACTTTTATGACCTATGCAATGTTAAAATTTAGAATGCAATAACAAACTAAAGAATTGTTAAGCAAGAATAGCTATTACTTAACACTCGTAACACAATCAATTCTGGAAGAAAAAACTGAATTTAAACCAAGATTTGCAAAGGTTCAAAAAATGAGTTTATTAAAACAAGGTTCACCTAGTCATTAGGATGCAAGGGCCGCAGGAATGCTAATACTCAGCGACGGTGGCTACATGTGGCTACCCCTCAACCATTTAGCCCTTCTAAATGGTGAGGATTTAAGCAGGTATGTAGGGGAATTTTAATTACTATTATAATTATGTAAATTCTGATCTACCACACAAAAAATATAACAAATACAGACTCCTAGGACATAGTATCCCTTAATGTCTAATATACTTTTAATAGACATTCGGAAATGCACACTGAAGAGAAAGCCAACAGTAGGTGTTTGCCCAGGAGTCACATTTGTTTTTATCTACTGTTTACAATCTGTCTGTTAAGTTTCCAGATCTGTACTAAATACTTTAGATGGATGACTTCCAAATTAATTTGGTTAAATTAAATCAGCTTTCTATTTTTTCAGTTGAGAAAGTTGACAATGAGAGCTAACTAGATGGTCAGCAGTTAAGCATTTTGCAGGAGGCAAAGCTACACATAAGCCAGTCTGACCATCACCCCAATCAATGCCTTCCAACTGACCACATCCAGGTAATCCCATGGTAGATAGTAAAGCATAGCGACAAATTCAGAATGCAATCAGTGAATTTACTGTCACTTCCACTGACCCCGCAGTTTGAAAGATTACAAACAAGATCATTTTAAGTTAACTTCCAACACAGCATTATAAGAGCCAACATCGATATGTGCAAGCCTGTCTTAACTCACTTAGTCCTCACTGAATCATCAAAACTTGAAAACAGCCAGGTGCTGGTGGCTCACGCCTGTAATCCTAGCTACTCAGGAGGCTGAGATCTGAGGATCACGGTTCAAAGCCAGCCCTGGCAGGAGAGACCGTGAGACTCCTATCTCCAATAAACCACCAGAAAACCGGAAGTGGTGCTGTAGCTCAAGTGGTAGAGCGCTCGCCTTGAGCTGAAGAGCTGAGGGACAGCGCCCAGGCCCAGAGTTCAAGCCCCACGACCGACAAAAAAAAAACAACTTGAAAACATTACTATTGCTATCATTCCACTTTACAGATGTACAAAATTAAGCCTGCTTATAGCCCAAGCCTATCCAAGTTCACTGAACTACCAAAAAGGTAAGGCAGGTACGGTTGGAAGCAGACCAACAGGCTGGAAAATCTACAGTCTGATCCATGGGTCTGCTGTCCTAAGACAGTGCATAATTTAGACTCAACTATCCTGTGTGTGTGTGACTACTTCTTGCAGTAATACCCCAGAGGGGTGAGGCTCACTACTTGTGCAGATTTCACTTCCTGGCTGTGATGCCATTTGGTTTGAGCTATGCTAATGAGTTGCAAAGAGAATACTATAAACACGCTTTTCTTCACATAAAATTCTGAATAATTTAGCCTAAACTTTAACAGAACACCAAATTGAAAAGCAATTTCAAGAAGAGAAACAATAACCTACTACTTCTACCTAGCAACTCACCTTGAAATACTTCCTTCTCATTCGAGTCATGTTCATCAACATGACCCCAGAGTTCACTCCAGTTTTCCCATAGTATGGGTGTCTAGCAAAGCGATTGTACCATCCTATTCGAGGCTCCTCATGTTCTGGTGCCATTGCAGCAATTTGTGTGGAATTAAATTTCTTCAGTAAAGACCAAATATCATCAACAGGTCGTAAGAAGAGGATATCAGTGTCAACATACAATAGGGAGTCAACTTCTTTCAGGATTAACTATGAGGAGAGAAGATAATTCAAACATTACTCCTAGTTTAATAAAAAAACCAAAATACACTTTACTCACAAACAAGACCAGCAATACTAACAGTTAGGAGAATCAGAGCATTATCTTCAAAGATCAGGAAGGAAGCATTTTACATAATGGATAATAACGTTTAAGAGTGGATTGGGGGGTGGGGCTGGGAAGTTGGCTCAGTGGTAGAGAGCTTGCCTCGCATGCATGAGGCCCTGGGTTCAATTGCTCAGCACCACATAGGCAGAAAAAAGCCAGAAGTGACGTTGTGGCTCAAGTGGTAGAGTGCTAGCATTGAGCTGAAGAGCTGAGGGACAGCGCCCAGGCCCAGAGTTCAGGCCCCACAACCAGGGAGGGGGAGAGAGGAGGTGGATTCCTATCTTGAACACTAATTTCCTGAGATAAATGAAGAGTTAGGCCAACACTAAGGAAGACTTTCTGAACTTGTTCCCTCAGCCTATAATACTGGCACTTTTCCAGCACCAACTAGTAAGTAGAAGAGCTAAACTGGAACCCAAATCACAGGTTGTAAATGTGTAGAGAAATCCACATTTGGCAACAGTAGAGTGACTTGTCATAGGTGAAATCTGGCCACATAGCACTTTTTAAATCTTTAAATTTTTAGCATTTAACATTTAATATCTGGATAATTTTTTTATTCTGCCTTATCCACAAACTCCAGAATCAGACTCCTGTGAACTTACATTTGATTAGGCTCACCTAAACTTTTTTTTTTTTTGGTGCTTGTCCAGGGCTTGAACTCAGGGACTGAATACTATCCTTGAGCTTTTGTGCTTTTATCATTTGAATCACTTCTTGCTTTTTGGTGGCTAACTGGAGATAAGAGTCTCAAGGACTAGCAGGACACCAGTAGCTCATGCCTGTAATCCTAGCTACTCAGGAGGATGATATCTGAGCATTGAGATTTGAAGCCAGAAAAGTCCCTGTGAGATTATTATCACCAATTAACCACTCAAAAACCAGAGTGGCACTACATGTAGCTCAAGTGATAGAGCTGGCTTTGAGCACAAATAGGCTCAAGGACAGCACCTAGACCCAGAATTCAAGGCCCACAACCAATTAAAAAAAAAAAAAAGACGAGTGTCAAGGGCTTTTCTGTCCCACTGACTTCAAACCCTGATCCTCAGATCTTAGCCTCCTGAGAAGCTAGGATTGTAAGTGTGAGCCACTGGTTCCTTGCTTATACCTAAACTTTTCTAGTTAAGAATACAATGAGAACAAAAGCTTCATTCTTGATCTGCTAGTTTTTCTAACCTTTATTATTGCTTTCTACAGCAGAAAGAAGACTTAAGAAAGATCCTAGGACAAATTTTTTTTTGTCAGTTGTGGGGCCTGAACTATGGGCCTCTGGGTGCTGTCCCTCAGCTCTTCAGCTCAAGGCTAGCGCGCCACCACTTGAGCCACAGGGCCACTTCCGGCTTTTTCTGCTTATGTGGTGCTGAGGAATGGAACCCAGGGCCTCATGCATGCAAGACAAGCACTCTACCACTGAGCCACCTTCCCAGACCATATGACACAAGGTTTTAAGCATAGCATCAAAGATGCTGTTAAGGCAGATTTTGCTATCAAAGTTACAACTAAAGGTACTTGATATTTTGGAGTCAGTAAACTACATTCTTACTATGTATGCTAAGATTACCTTGAATCCTCTTAACAATAATTGAAAATGTTTCTACATAGTTCATACTCTTTCTAGGAACTTATGTTCTTTTAAAATCAGCATTTCTACTACCATCATAAGAATTTATTGTTTTAACTGACAATAGAATAAAATTTTTAAATGTCATAGTTGTTTGAACAACTATGAATTTTTAAGTTATGAGTGAAATCAACTCAAAATGGAAGAAATAGCCTTGTTTCTGATAATTAGGACCATTTTTGAAAAATGGATTATCGGTGCTGTGAAAGTGGCTCAGTGGTAGAGTGCTTGCCTTGCCTGCATGAGGCCCTGAGTTCAACTCCTCAGCACCACATAGCAGAAAAAGCTGAAGTGGCTCTGTGGCTCAAGAGGTAGAGTGCTAGCCTTGAGTTGAAATGCTGAAAGACAGCACCTATACCCAGAGTTCAGGTCCCATGACTGACAAAAATAAAAAATAAAAATAAATAAAAGGATTATCACCAGAAACTACCACCAAAGAAGAGTTGCTATTTTTCCTGTAAGTTCATATATTTTAGATTCTGGGTACACATTCAGGTATCATTTAAAAATGTTAATGGGCTTGGCCTAACATACAAATGTTATTTAATTATGCAGTTTACCTAAGTTCCCAAGAAATCCATGCAGTCTGTAACTTGAAAGTGATACTACTTACTACCCACTATACTTATGCAGAAGGAGACAGGCTCCATCCACATCTGACCACCACCCCCTCCTAGTGATAAAATAGCTCACAGCAACTGAATTTAGTTAAAATGGAAGAAGGATTATTTTCAACACAAATTATTTTAAAATGTTCCTTTTTGTTTATATGGTCCTGCAGGGTCAAACCCAGGACTTCACACACACCAGGGTAGTATTCCCTCCCTTACTCCCTTCCTTCTCTCTTCCTTTCTTTTTCTTCCCTCTTTTCCTTCCTTTTTATTCCCTCCTTCCTATCTTTATCTTTACTCTCCTACTCCCCTCTCCTTTCCTTTCCATTCTTCCCCCCTTCCCCCCCACCAGAACTAGAGATTAAACCCAAAGCTCTGTGCATGCTAGGAAGCACACTACCAATCTAGCTATACCACCAACCTTTCTGGGTTTGTCAACTGGTTTTGAGATCGGGTCTCTCTAACTGGCTGGGCAGGCCTCAAACTTGCAATCCTCCTGGCTCTGCCTTCTTAGTTGCTAGAATTACAGGAATACACCATCATGCCTGAACAAAATTTGCATTTTTAACATGCTTCCATTATAGTTTTAATTTGTTCTATAATTTTGTTGTTGTTGTTTGGTCTCAGGGCTTGAACTCTGGGCCTAGGTGCTGTCCCTCAGCTCTTCAGCTCAAGGCAAGAGCTCTACCAGTTGAGCCACAGTGCCACTTTCAGTCTTCTGGTGGTTGATTGGAAATAAGAGTTTCATGGACTTTCCTGCCTGGGCTGGCTTTGAACTGCGATCCTCAGATCTCAGCTTCCTGAGTAGCTAGGATTACAGGCATGAGCCACTAGCACCCAGCTGTTCTATAATTTTTTTACTCATACATAAAAGGAAAATAGTATGTGTTTCTATGTATCTATTTATCTAGGTTTATATGTAACTTTTCAAAAATTCATCTGCATAAAAGTTTCAAATTAAGAAGAAAATCAGAAACAAAAACCATGGGGTTGAGCTTAGGGGGGGGACAAAAACTTACTGGCAAGAATAACCTCTGGGAAGCACATGGTTTAAAGAGTTTTTTCCACTCTGCTGCATTCTCATTCGGAAAGGTAATGGAATACAATGTGTAATTAAATCTTTGTAGAAATGACCAGTTGTTGAGCTAAAAAATTAAAAATTAAAATTAAAAAGCTTGTTTCATTGTTAATTTTCACTGTAATAGAAACCAAGTTATGGCACAGAAAAATTGAAATAAAGGTCACACATATATTCTATGTTATACAGTTAAAAGAAAGATTCTTTTCCATCATTTTCTTTGTTTACATTCAAAATCTAAAATCCATTGTAATATCCCAGAAAGACTTTACTACAGACATGTAGGACACAGTGGAAGTTCTCAACCAAAGACTAATAATTTTATTTTTCCTCCCAACTTATAAATCACTTAGAGCTCCTTTCAATACCAACTTTAAATGAAATCTTTGACATTTTTTACTTAGCAATATTGCTGTATTTGGAAAATAAAAGGATGTTCTTCCAAATACTTCCCATTTCATCAAAAAGCAAATCCAAATATCTCCACATTGATTAGTCAAAGTCTAAACTTAAAAGCATAGTATAGAAATCTGGGAGCCAGTGGCTCATGCCTATAATCCTTGCTATTCAGGAAGCCGAGATCTGAGGATTGTGGTTCGAAGCCAGCCCAGGCAGTAAAGTCTATGAGACTCTTGGTCGGTCGTGAGGCTTGAACCCTAATCCTGGGCACTGTCCCTGAGCTCTTCAGCTCAAGACTAGCATTCTACCACTTGAACCACAGCACCAGTTACAAGTCTGTGAGATTCATATCTCCAATTATCCACCAAAAAAAGCAGAAGTAGAGTTGTGACTCAAATAGTAAAGTGCTTGCCTTGACCAAAAAAGTTCAGGGATAGTATCAAAACTAGTACACACACACACACACACACACACACACACACACACACACACACATACACACGTGTCCACACACACACACACACACACACACACACACGTGTCCGCATAGAAAAATAAGTGAATAGGGCTGGGAAGGTGGCTCAGTGGTAGAGCGCTTGCCTTGCATGCATGAGGCCCTGGGTTCGATTCCTCAGCACCACATAAGCAAAAAGAAAAAAGCCGGAAGTCACGCTGTGGCTCAAGTGGTAGAGCGCTAGCCTTGAGCTGAAGAGCTGAGGGACAGGGCCCAGGCCCAGAGTTCAGGCCCTACAACCGGACCCAAAAAAAAAAAAAAAAGAAAAGAAAACTAGGTCAGTAGCATCATCTTTATCACTATTTCAAAACACAAGGTAATGAGATCTCAGGTCAATTCTTTCTCTTTTTTTTTTTTTTTTTTTGTTGGTCATGGGGCTTGAACTCTGGCCTTTGAGCTAGTACTCTACCACTTGAGCCACAGCACCACTTCCAGTTTTGGGGTTTTTGGTTTTTTTTTTCTGAGTGGTTTATTGGAGATAAGAGTTTCACGGACTTTCCTGCCTGGGCTGGCTTTGAACCAGGATCCTCAGATCTCAGCCTCCTGAGTAGCTAGGATTACAGGCATGAGCCACCCATGCTGGCTCAATTCTTTCTTTAAAGGTAAATTCCCAGTATCTGATCTGATGTTTTGTCGTTGGTAAGATTACAAAGCTGCCCTGATTGAAATGTGTATTTTTTTCACAATACACCTAAATTTATCAGAAGGTGTATTCACAGTAATGTCATGTTGGACAATGAATTAGAAGCCTCATGTTGAAATGGCTTAGCAATATAACTTGCTCTGCCTACTTTTATGTGAGAGAGAAATAAAGTCTCATAACCACGTTTCAATCAAGGCTTCCTGGAACTAATCAGTAAAATCTTGATGCTTCACAATAGACTTTAAGTTGCTTCTTTTTGTTCAAAAAGATTTCTTCCTCTTACACTCTATGTCTAGATGCACATGGAAGTGGTTACAAGAATAATCTCCAATCTAGAAAAGCAGTTACATTATAGTTTTGTTGAATGAAGGAACAAAATAACAGTTGATTATAGTGTAATAATATTCAATTCCACAACCTTGACTAAATCTCAAATACTCACTCTCTCTTTAAAGCTATCATGTAGTTGATCTTCAGCGAAAATGTGGAACTGTAGAGGTTTGATACTGAAAATTATAGCAGACTTCAACATGGTCATAGTTTCTTCCAGTCTTTCTCCGCAGGCCACAACGGCAAGGTGCATCTTCTCCACAGGCTGTGTTTTCATGCTATACCTAACAGGAAAGAAAGACACATTTTCCAGCTGTTTCAGCATGTCTACAAATACATCGTTATTTTTACTACATGCAAAAATACAAGTTTAAAACTTCTATTGAAAAGGCCAAGAAACATCAAACAAAGCAATAAATGAGGAATCAATTATTCTTACACACACAAACACATATGTGGTGTGTGTGTGGTATGTTGGTTGGCGTGGGAACTTGAACATAAAAGTCTCACATTTTTTCTGCTCAAAGCTGGTCTCTACCACTTGAGCCACATCCCCACTTCCATCTTTCTGTTGCTTAACTGGAGAGAATCATCTCTCAGCTTTGTCACTCTGCATTTCTTGGATCTCAGCCTCCTGATAAATGGGATTATAGATTCGAGCCACCAGCACCAGGCTCAATCAAATCTATGTTTTCCATCAATCTTGTTCCTGTCCTAGAACTCCAGAATATAAACTACTTTCACAATTTGCCTAAGGATATGTAAACAGCTGCATTGTAGCCACAGAGAAGTTAACTCATTGGCCATACTAGATGCCTTAAGCCCACCCACGGATTACTATGAAGGAAGGCAGTCACAATTCTGTCCACAATACTGCAGTATTACACCCAGTCTTAAATTATGCTGACAAGAAATTTCTTCATGTAACTTTGTTCAATGGCAAACACTCAGTTCCACATACCAAGTGAATGGCAGGATGTAAGCATCTCTAAAGGATCTGGAACACTATCGGAACACTAATATGTTTGGAGAGCAGGACTTCCTAGTGCCAGGCCTAGCCTATCCACAACTAACAGCAGCAGTGTGAAACACCAGACTTAAGGGGCAGTCACAACTCTGTACAACTGCTGTGCCACCTCCTTCACTCCTCTGAGAAGCAGCAGCTCAGGTCTTCTTAAGCTCTCCAGGCCTTTCATTGGCAGAAGCAGGAACTCCTCCCTGTTTATTCCCTCCTCTGCCCTTCACTTCGGTGAAGGGAACCTTATCAGAGGAGGGGATTACCTATGCTTTTATATCTAGGACAAGGAGACATTAACTTGGTTCATCTATGATCCGAGAGAATCATAAAAACACAAGTTAAAAATAAGGAAATTTGGGGCTGGGGAAGGTGGCTCAGTGATAGAGTGCTTGCCTTGCACGCATGAGGCCCTGGGTTCGATTCCTCAGCACCACATAAGCAGAAAAAGCCAGAAGTGGTGCTATGGCTCAAGTGGTAGAATGTTAGGCTTGAGCTGAAGAGCTGAGGGACAGCACCTAGGCCCAGAATTCAGGCCCCACGATCAGAAAAAAAAAAAAAAAAAGGAAATATAGGCATACCGCTCTACAAAAGTCTTGGCAATTCCTCTTCTAGTAAATGTCTCCAGATCCCACTTCTCATATAAAGACTATCATTAAAATATCTAGCACTCTGGAAGGTGGGGCAGGAAAGAATGATACTTATAGGGGGGACCTAAGCTACTACATACATATCAAGACCCTATCTCTACTAAAATGGTTTAAAACTCATGATTTGAGAATTTCTCATAGGCTGTGCTGCTAGACTGTACTAGACTGTACCACAATATCAAGAGGCAAAACAATACTTTAAAAGTAAGCCAAGCGGTTACATAGTTCTGCTCAAAATTCTAGACACATAAAGAATAATAAATGTTAAGGAAAAAAGCAAAATATTCCTCAAGGGAAGGAAAAATCCTCTAAAATCAGTCCCAGGGCCAGATTTCTCCAAGGCCCCTCAGTGAAGGCTGTTTAGCCACACTGCCTGCATTCTGCAGTGATGAAGCACTGTGCTGCCCACTGCACTATGCTGGCTTCTCTGCAGTGTCTCTGCAGCAGAGCAGCATATATGGTACACACTCCAACATACCTCAATTGACAGAACAAAATACACTCTGAAAACACCTCTGCCCACCAACCTGTCCCTACACACCAGGGACAGAAAAAATCAGTTGGAACCAAAAAGAAATCTAAAGTCTACTGTAGGACGTGATCATGAAAATTTTCTGAGCAGTATGTGCAGTCAACCCAGGAATTCTACAGCATCTGTATGCCAGGCTCCTATCAGGGTGAGTAAAAATGTGCTGTTTTAGTTACAGTGTGTATTAAAGTTCCTGGAGATTTAAAAGATGCTAGCAAAAAGGACATTTTCATGCCAGGACTATTTTCCACATGAAGAGGAGATATCCTCAGTTCAAACACCAGACAGCTCCCGTGGTTAGATGTGCATGACCTAACTAGCTGCCTGACAGCTGCAATCCCTGCATAGAGTGAGTGTAGCTGGCCTGCCAGGTCCTGGAGCAGTAGTACAGGAATGGGTGGTTCTGTGGAGTTGCAGACTTTTGTAGACTTTTTTGCATGAAGAGGCTGTCACACTGCTGGTCACACTGAGAGGGTCTTTGGGCCACCAGGTGGCGCTTTTTGACAAAGGCTTGTAATTCCTTGGGCAAGGGGGAGGGCTTGCCCACCCACCCTACAGTGATTCCAGGAAGCCCTCAGAAGCTATGCCAAAACTATATGCCAGGTAAGCCTCACTTCACAGTTCAAGTGGTGCTGGCCACTTGTACACAGAGGTGTGGTTTAAGTCTCCTACAGTGACACTGTTGTTTGAAGGCTTCCAGAACCCAGATCACATCACCTCCAGAGGGCTCGAAACCAGGTCAATGTCCATGGCTTTCCTTAATTGAGCACTGAGAGCATGCATAGCTTATTTCTTACTTCCTAGGCTTTTTTTTTTTTAATGCCAGTAGTGGGGCTTGAACGGGGGGCCTCAAGCTCCCTCTGCTTTCACATGGCTGGTACTCTACGACGACTTGAATCATGCCTCAAGACTTTCAGATGTCTGCTCAAGCTGACTTTGAACCAATACTCCTATCTCAGCTTTCCACGTAGCTGGGATTATAGGCATAAGCTACTAGAGCCCAGCGCATGTAGCTTTTTATATATTTGTTTCCCCTTTTTATCTTTCTGTTATGCAAACTCTTAATGTTAGTATCAAAAACACTGTGCTTTACTGGAAGTGCAGCTTATCAAAATCACATAAAAAAAAAATTAATGGGGCTGGGAAGGCGCTTGCCTTGCATGCCTGAGGCCCTGGGTTCGATTCCTCAGCACCACATGAGCAAAAAGAAAAAAGCCGGAAGTGGCGCTGTGGCTCTAGTGGTAGAGCGCTAGCCTTGAGCTGAAGAGCTGAAGGACAGCACCCAGGCCCAGAGTTCAGGCCCCATGACCGGACCCAAAAAAAAAAAAAATTCAAGCTGAGAAAGCTGAACCAGGGCTTAGAAGAAAGCTGCCCACTCATGGTACCTGGTGGCAGGCAAGAATGTGACACCAGGGGCTGGGAAGGTGGCTCAGTGGTAGAGCTCTTGCCTTGCATGCCAGAGGCCCTGGGTTCGATTCCTCAGCACCACAAAAGCAAAAAGAAAAAAGCCGGAAGTGGCGCTGTGGCTCAAGTGGTAGAGCTCTAGCCTTGAGCTGAAGAGCTGAGGGACAGTGCCCAGGCCCAGAGTTCAGGCCCCACGACCGGACAAAAAAAAAAAAAATGGGACACCAAAGGCCACAGTAGAAAGCAGCTTTACCAGGGTATGCAGATAAGCTCCTGAAAGCCCAGCAAAACTGACATCGTACTTAAAGTGAATACAGAGTACATAGCAAACACAGTGACTAAAAGTAAATGGATCACAAGAACAACAGTTAAAAAAAATCATTTTTTGAGAAAGGAATTTCAAGGCTACTTGCCCTCTCCTCTGCCACTAGCTCAGGAGAGTCTAAGAGCCACTGCCAATTCCATTCCGGTCAACCCTGTTTCTTTCACAGATTAGAGAAGGGAGGGAAGAGAGGTCAGTCCCTCCAATACCTTCTTTATTCAGCAGTGAACAAAGCCAAACTATTCAGTGACTTAAAAGGTCAATAAACAACCTCTATCTTTGGCTCCTTGGAGCCAAACTATTTACCTTACTTTCCCTCTCCCATTCCTCAACAAGCAATCACTCAGCTAATTTCTTATACAACTCTTGAGTTGTATTTTTAAACTACACCAGCTTTGAACTGGAAAACAGATGTGTGTAAGTGTAAACGTCCACTTGAAATCTGTCTTTATCACATGCATATTATGTTACTAAAGCATATTATATTACTAACTGCTACCAAAAGTTGGATTATAAATTCTCGTAAGACTAATGGGTTACAACTAAAAAACAACTAAAAGCAAAAAATTAGAGCATTCACACATTGTGTTAAAAATTGGTGGTAACAATTACAAAAATAGGAAAAAGGAGAAGACCTAGTCAGAAACTGAAATTATTTACCTGTAGGGTAACACTAAATTTCAGGAAAAGAAGCACTATTACAGTGAAAAGCTTTACCTACTAGCTAATCTTACCTACACTCATCTACCAATTAAATATTAAGTGCCTACCTAAAAGCCGCTTCCCAAAAGCAGTTCATTCCACAAACATCAGAGGGCAGCATCCAATAGGGATTCCAGTAACACAGACAGAAATCTTTACACCTAACAGTAAGACAGAAATAACAGTCCTGTATGAACATTTTGGTTGGCAACTAACAAGAAGTTTACTGAGCAGCACAGTAACTTATTGTTGTTTTAAAGCAACAAAATGACAAGTCCAAGTTTCTAAGTTTTAGAACACTGATTTCTCCCCTTACTTAGGGCACTACTGTTTTAAATAAAAACTTTAAAAACATTTAGGTTAAACTACACTACAGACTGGAAAACAGTTTTCTAGTTAGGAGTTCTCTTGGCATATTAAAATCCACTCCTGGGGGGGGGGGGGGGGAAGGAAGGGAAGGGGAAACAAAGGAGGAGGCTACAATGCTTGATAAGAAATGTACTCATTATCTTGCCCATAATTGTAACACCTCTTTACAGTATTTTCACAATAAAAAAAAGAAAAATAATAAATAAAATAAAATCCACTCCTCTAACAGTATAAAATGTATCTAATTGTTTTTGTGAACTCCAAATATTATCCTAGAGCAAAATTCATTTCATCCAAAAACATTTTTTATTTAAAAGTGTCACAAAAGCTGGGGAGGAAGGGGAAGGTCATTAAATGCTTTTAATCCTCAAAAACAAGTAATTTGTATTGTGTTTCAACTAAAAATTGAGAAATGATGCTGACAGTTGTGGCTCAGTTTCACTTCTACATTATCTCCAGCTCATTCCATTACACAAGCTAAAATGGAGGCTAAACTGTGTTCTTAAGACTGCTAAAAAGAAAAGTGTTTTTCACTGCTACTCCCTTTCAACAATCTTCTAAACTTCACTGCTACAGTGGAGGCAACACTGATCTAAGCATAGGTCAGGGTGAGTCACTCAACTACAGACTTTATATCTCTTGACCCAGAAAAGCTTTGTTTTCTCTCACTATGAATCCAGTAAGTTACTGGCTCTTATATCAAAATGGCTGTGAAATTTCAGATTTGCAAACTTCTTTGATCAAACCTCCCACACATCAAGGATCTAAGGCCGGGGTTCTTAGCCCTGGAGGCATAATGAAATCACTGGATACCCATGCCAAACCTATTAAATCAGACTCTCCAGTGACAGGATCTGCCACCTATGAAATTCTATAAAGAACAAAGCCAGGAGCTTTTTAAATCCCTAGAAAGTTGGAACTTTTAAATGTCCAGAGAAAGTTACACTGCAATTTTATTTTCTTTGAAGAACAGGACAATAAGTTCAAAGTATTTATTTACTTATACATTATTTATTTATTGTCCGAGTAGGGCTTGAATTCAGGGTCTGGGCACTGTCTCTGAGCTTTCACTCAAGGATAGAACTCTATCACTTTGAGCCACAGCACCACTTCTGGTTTTCTGGTAGTTAATTGGAGATAAGAGTGTCACAGGGACTTTCCAGCCTGGGCTGGCTTGGAACTGCAATCCTCAGATCTCAGCCTCCTGAGTAGCTGGGATTACAGGCATGAGACACAGGCACATGAGCCACTCAAAGTCCAGGTATTAAGAAAAAAAAGAAGAAAATGTGACCCAAGTATTGGTGTAATCCTAGCTACTCAGGAGGCTGAGATCTAAGGATCATGGTTCAATGCCAGCCTGGGTAAGACAGTCCACAGAAAACCAGAAGTGGGGTTGTGACTCAATGTAGTAGTGCCTTGAGCAAAAAAGCTCAGGGACAGTGCACAGACACCGAGTTCATGCCCCATGATTGATACCCTCCCCCCACCAAGGGGAAGGGGAAGGGGAAGGGGATGCGGAAGGGGAAGGAAAGGGAAAAGAAAGAAAATGTGTACATATCAGCCAGATGTGATAGTGTATGGCTGTAATATCAGTACTTGAGAGAATTGAGGCAGGAAGGAAGCTCTTGTGTTCAGGGGCAGCACTGGCTACCCAGAGAGATCCTATCTAAAACAAACCACAAAAAAAAAGTAAACCTATTAGTGACACTTATCAATTTGTACCCTCCTAAGACATTGTTATATATGCTTAAAATCTTACATTTCCTACCAGGTAGACAAACTCTGTAAGACTAGTAACTAACACATAATTCTTTCAAGTTCAAGTAATGTTATATCTATTTAAGCCACAAAACAAACCTTTAAGGAAAAACAGTAACAAAACTATTCCATCTCCCTTGTCAAACTCTACAACAGAGGAAAAATGAAAAACGCAAAGCAAAGTTCAATTTTTCCATAAAAATTACTTGAAATAGTGTATCCGTAACAATGCCAATTGCTGCCTCAGCTTTTATTTGATGTTAAAAAAAAAATCAGTTATCTTGGCCATCCTAAGACCACTCATCTGATATACAGATATAGGAGCCTACTGAAAACCTCATTAACAGAATCTCCAGACAACTGGCTAAGAAGCTAAATGTGCCCAATGCCACAAGGTAAGTCTTAGGATCAGACCTGAGTGAGAAAACAGTTACCAAGGCTTATTTAGAATCAATTTGGGAGTGGTAGTCCATGCCTTAATCCCAGTACTCACAAGACTGTGGTAAAAGGATCATGAGTTCATTCAAGGCCAGCCAGGAATACTTAGTGAAACCCTGTCTCCAAACAAATGTTAATTTGGATTTTTTTTTTAATCAAAAATATTGTCTAGCCAGGTGCCAGTGGCTCACACCTGTAATCCTAGCTACTCAGGAGGCTGAGATCTGAGGATCATGGTTCAAAGCCAGCCTGGGCAGAAAAGCCCATGAGACTCTGATCTCCAATAAACCACTAGGAAACCGGAAGCGGCGTTGTGGCTCAAGAAGTAGAGCACTCACCTTGAGCTGAAGAGCACAGGGACAGCACTCAAGCCCAGAGTTCAAGCCCTATGACCACCACCACCACCAACAACAACAAAAAATTGTCACCCACATGCCTAGTTTATATAATGTCCTTGGTTTGATCCCTAGAACCACCACCCCTTAGAAAACAGTAGTGATGAAATTTCTCATAAGCAATCCTATTTAGCTGGGCACTAGTGGCTCACTCCTGTAATCCTAGCTACTCAGGCGGCTGAGATCTGACGATCTCTAAGTGATAAGAGTGGCTAGCCTTGAGCTAAAAAGCTAAAGGAGCCAGGTGTGGTGGCTCACACCTATAATCCTAGCTACCCAGGAGGCTGAGATCTGAGGATGGTCTGGACAGGAGACTCTTCTTTTTTTTTTTTTGTCAGTCATGGGACCTGAACGCTGTCCCTCAGCTCTTCAGCTCAAGGCTGCTCTACCACTTTTGGCTTTGTCTGTGAGACTCATCTCCAAATAAACCACCAGAAAACCGGAAGTGGCTCTGTGGCTCAAATGGTAGAGCACTAGCCTTTAGCTGAAGAGCTGAGGGACAGGGCCCAGGGCCGGAGTTCAAGGACCATGACCTACCAAAAAAAAAAAAAAAAAGCTAAAGGACAGCATCTAGGCCCTGAGTTCAAGCCTAGGAAGGAAGGAAGGGAGGAAGGGAGGGAGGAAGGAAGGAAGGGAGGGAGGGAGGAAGGAAGGAAGGAAGGAAGGAAGGAAGGAAGGAAGGAAGGAAGGAAGGAAGGAAGGAAGGAAGGAAGGAAGGAAGGTTGGAAGGTTGATTTGTTGTTATAAACTGCAGTGAGGCTTGGAGTTGTTACAAAATAAAGAACATAAGCCACAATTCCCTTCTAAAAGTGCACAATTTATTCACTCCTAGATATATTCTCAAAGTAATGGAAAACATTTATCTTTACAGCAAAATAGTACATGAATGTTCACAGTACCATCATGTAATAAGTAAAAAAAAAAAGTAGTATATCCATTTAATTAAATATTATTTAGCTATAAGAAATGAAGTATAATGGTAAACGCTACAGTGGATAAACCTTAATACAGCAGCTAGGTGAAAAAAGCCACAGTCAGAAGGTCACAGTTTATAAGATTCATTTCTGTGAATGTTCAGAACAGGCAAACCTGTGAAGTCAGAGAGCAGTTTTCTGCCTGCCTGGTGAGAGAAAGGGGCTGAGAAATGAAGTGGGAGTCATTGCTAGTGAACATAGGTTTGATTTTTGGCAATACTGGGGTTTAAGCTCAGGGCCTTGAGCCTACTAGGCAGGTCCTACACCTACTGAACCATGCCTTGCTCCCTGCCCTTTTACTTGAGTTATTTTTAAATAGGGTTTTGAATTTTTCCTGGGGAACGCCTTCTAACTACAACCTTCCTACTTAGGCAGCCCTTCCCTCACAACTAGGATTACAGGTCCCAGCAACCACACCCTGGCTGATAGTTTCTTGGGGGGGGGGGGGGTAATGACTAACTCTACACAGCAATTAATCAGATTTGCGCATAAATTTGGACAGGCAGAGTCAGGTTTTAGATAATTTCTTGGCCATAATTCCATGCCAAACATACATAATATACAGAGAGGATATTTTTCTTTGGTCATTTATGGCAATATAAGAACATGCATACTAGTCAAATAAACCTGCGATTTTCCTTTTTAAAAAAAAAAAAATGAAGTCTTCTGTCAAGAAATGGAATTCTTTTAGTTTCTGAACTTCCATTCTCTGATTTATGAAAATCTAGAGACTGAGGGCAGAAGCTCACACAGAATTCACCTTATACTAGACACAGTTAATAAAATTAAAAAAAGACTATTAAGTTAGGGAAAAAAGCAACCAATTTGAAGACAGTGAAAGTTCCAAACTACTGGACAAGTAAAATCTGCCCAGCTATGGGTAACATTCACTTATAAAGCAGTCCCTCTGCTCACTAATCACAACGGAACACACTTAGCTGAGCTACGGGGTATGTCTCCAGTGAACACTGACATCCATGAGCCAGAGGTCCATAAATGCAATTATATTTTCTGTGGACCAAACTGAAACTAAGCTTCACTGCGGTTCCTGGTCAAATTTCCTTCCACTTGTTATATTCAGCTCTAGGAGGTTTTCTGTAATATATACTGACCAAGGGGTAGCACGAGACCTTTGCCCTAACACATAAAACTGGGGATGATCTGAATAAGGTCAGTGGGTTGGACACTGGCAGCTTTTATGGTTATTATATACTATACTACTGGAACATACCTATTTTAGATACAGTCTACGACACTCTTCATGTAAAACGTTAAAATTGGGAAAAGCTAAGTGAAAAATACATGTAGTATCTCTTATTTCCTGTGAATTTATAGTTATTTCAAAATGGAAGGGTTGGTTTTTTTTCTTAAGGGCAAAGTGGTAAAAAAATAAACATTGTCAAAATTTTCAGCACTTGAAAAATGCTTCAAACATTGAGACAATTCACGCATTGGGTTAAAAAAAAAACAAAGATGGGTGTGGTATCATGTACTTAGACCGGGCTGCTTGGGAGGCTGAGGCAAGAGAATGGCTTGAGTCCAGGAGTTCAAGGTTGGCCCAGACAACAAAGTAAGAGTCGTTTTTAAAGAAATTTTAGAGCATTTAACAACATAACAATAGCTCCTAAACAAAGTTTACTTAAATCCAATGACAAAAGAGCTATACAAGAGCGTTTACATTTCAAAATATACATGACAGCCATGAGGCTTTAGTAGAATATGTGTACAGCTCAGAGACTGGTAAATGTGTATGCGCAGCCCACAAATGTGGGAGTCTGAGGGAAGGGCTGGGAGGCAACAATTCAACTTCAACTCCTGGCCATCTGCTCTGGGGCTGGGTAGGAGAAACCCAGGCACTTACAGACATGTCCAAGATCATTCCCAAGATACTACCAGGCCTTAGTGATTTTATAAAGCACTGCTTGGATAACTCATTTTCAATACACTGTCTCGAGATGACTTAGATTAGCTAACTCTACACCAGATCTTTGGTTCTTTTCTTAAATCTCTAATTTCATGAGTACTCAGAAAGTGAGAAAAGAGACACTTTATGCAGAAATGGCATAAAACAATTGTCTAGCCATTAAAAAAAATTATCAGGCTAGGAAAGTGACTTAGCAGTAGTGTTTGCCTAGCATGCATGAGGCCCTGGGTTCAATTCCTTGGAAATAAATAAAAATTTTAAAAAATATCCAGTATACTCCCTTCTCTACCACACCTGAGTTAAAAGATGGGGGGAACACAATAAAGGATCAGATAGTTTTTATATACATAATAAAAGTAAAAACAATAAAGAAAAACAGCCCATGTAAAAACAAGAAGTTTAAACTTCCTGTAGTTAGACATTTTATGAACAAAATTCAAGTTAGCATGTGGGGGAAGGGCCTATTTCAACACCCAAAACACTTTAAAGAATAATCTATTAAGATTCTCAAATCAAAAGTATACATTTGTGGTTACTCAAATGTTCCCTCTAAAAGCACAGATTATCTTAATTATTAGCATTTACGAAATAATATATGTCAGCGATTGTGTCCCCAAATTCTTTTGTCGGAACCTGCTCACTAATGAGATGATGTGAGGAGTAATGATGTTTGGGGTAAGTGGTTAGGAAAGGAAGAAGGTGGAGCCCTCATGAATGAGATTAATGTCCTGTTAAGAGACAAAGTACTACAGGCCTACAGGCCCCCACACCAGGCTAGAACACAAAGAGAAGGTATCCTCTGAACCAGGAAATGGGCCCTCACCAGACACTAACTGCATTGGAGATATGATTTTAAGATTTTCAAGAGCCAGGTGCCAGTGGCTCACACCTGTAATCCTAGCTGCTCAGGAAGCTGAGATCTCAGAATAGAGGGCCAAAGCCAGCCCAAGCAGAAAAGTCCATGAGACTCTTTTTTTGTTGGTCGTGGGGCCTGAACTCTGGGCCTGGGCACACAACCCCTCAGCTGTTCACCTCAAGGCTAGTGCTCTACCACTTGAGCCACAGTGCCACTTCCAGCTTTTTCTGCTTATGTGGTGCTGAGGAATGGAACCCAGGGCCTCATGCATGCAAGGCAAGCTCTCTACCACTGAGCCACCTTCCCAGGCCCAATTTTTTTTTTTTTTTTTTTGCCAGTTATGGAGCTTGAACTCAGGACCTGAGCACTGTCTTTGAACCTCTTTGTACTCAAGGCTAACACTCTACTAACTTGAGCCACAGCACCACTTCCAGCTTTTTCTGTTTATGTGGTACTGAGAAATCAAACCCAGGGCTTCATGCCTGCTAGGCAAGCACTCTATGGTTAAGCCACATTCCTAGCCCCCCATGAGATTCTTATCTCCAATAAACCACTAGAAAACCAGAAGTGGTGCTGTGGCTCAAGTGGTATAGCGCTCGCCTTGAGCTGAAGAGCCAAGGGACAGCACCCAAGCCCAGAATTCCAGAGTTAAAGCCCCATGACCGACCAAAAAAAAAAAAAAGATTTCCAGCATCCAGACAGTGAGAAATAAATTTCTGCTGTTTATAAAATGCCCAATCTACTGTATTTTCTTATAGCAACCCAAACAACACTTTATAAGTATGTTTGAAGTAGGTGCCACTATGTTATTCAATAAAGTAAGATACAAGATACAGTGTACTGGTTTTGCATAACATGTTTTTGTATTAAAACAGGAAGTAAGGAAGCTTTATTATTCAATTTTCTTCTCTGTTCACTGTCCCAATTCCTTGCCTTCAAAAGTAACTGCATCAGAAAGAAAAAACTCCATAAACAACAACAGTACAGGATTGGGATGTAGTTCCTTGGAAATAAGCACTCACATAGCAAGTGCAAGGCTCTGGGTTCCCCATCAGAAAGAAAGAAAGAAAGAGGGGGGGGAGGTAAGGAGAGAGGAGCAAAAATGATAAAAATCCCTCTCAACAGAATCAAGGTTCATTGGCCTTATAACAATAGACACTAGCATCTAAAATGCAGATATTTGGACTCTCCAACCATCCACTCTGATTTTCAGCACTCCACTGGGGCCTAAAAAGAACAGTTTTCCTCCAAAGTCAGAAATTGAAAAAACTGCTATAAACTTAAATTATCAAAACAATCATCAACAGCCAGGTATCAGTGACCCATGCTTGTGATTATAGCTACTCACAAGGATGAGATCTGAAGATCACAGTTTGAAGCCAAACTGCAGAGTAGAAACTATGAGACATCTCTAATTAATCACCAAAAAGCAGTAAGTAGAGCTGTGGCTCCTATGGTAGAGCACTATCCTTGAGCAACAGAGCTCAGGGGCAGCTCCAAGGATGAATTCAAGCTCAGGATAGTGCACGTGTGTGCAAGCGCGCCCCCACACTCCCCTCCCCCCATCACCATATTAGCTATAATTTTATAATGACACATGCTTATACAAGCCGTCTCATTTTTCAGTTCTCATAGTATCATACTAACATCACAGATAATCTTACCTAACTACTAGTGAAGAAACATGTTCTAGGTCAACCAAACCAGGAGGACACACGTGACAAAATGAAGTCTGTGACCCCAAATCGCTTCCTCCTTTCTAGTCTTTAAATTCTCAGTACATCCTACAAGTGTTCACAGGACCCAGCAGAAATCAAAACCTGAGACCAAACCAGACAAAGGAGGGAGGTGACAACCACTGCACAACTCTATGCATACCAAAACTTGAAGTTATACACATCTGAAAAAAGTACAGTTTCCATTTGTCCATGACACCCCAATGCAACTGAAATTTTGTATGTCTCATCTATTTTACAGGTGAAGAAATCAATGCGCAAGCCAGGCCCCGGTGGCTCACGCACCTGTAATCCTAGCTACTCTGGAGGCTGAGTTCTGAGGATCTCGGTTCAAAGCCAGCTCAGGCAGGAAAGTCTGTGAGAGTCTTACCTCAATAAAAACCACTAGAAAACCGGAGGTGGCGCATTGGCAGAGCACAGGGACTGCACAAGCCTAGAGTTCAAGCCCCATGATCGATAAAAAAAAAAAAGAAATCAATGCATAGAGAGTAATGTCATAATCTAACTAAGTTACTAGCCGTAACTGCAGCTAGAGTGAGGACACAGGCTTGTCTGTCTCTAAGACACACATTTTCTGATAAGTAAGATAGTGTTTTCATTTTTTTCTTTCTTTGTGGTACTGAGGATTAAACCCAAAGCCTTATGCATATTAAGCAAACACACTATCATTGAACTAAGTTCTTTAAAAAAAAAAAAGACAAGAGCTTGCTACATATGACATGTTGGCCTGGCACTTGATACATCTTACCAAGTGCTGGAATACCAGTTATGTGCTACTATGCTCAAGTTAAAACAGTATGTTCCAAACAGAATGCAATGATAGATTTCACTAGAAAAAAAAAAATTACGCCTGTAATCCTAGCTACTCAGGAGGCTGAGATCTGAGGATTACGGTTCAAAGCTCAGGCAGGAAAGTCTGTGACACTCTTATCTCCAATAAACCACTAGAAAACCGGAAACGGCACAGTGGCTCAAGTGGTCGAGTGCTAGCCTTGAGCTGAAAAGTTGAGGGACAGCGCCCAGTCCCAAAGTTCAAGCCCCACAACTGAAAAAAAGAGAAAAAGAAAAAAAAATTGTTCTTACCATTTTAAAGTTCTTATCTAAGAAGGTGAAGGATTTTTCCAAGTATTTGCTTTCATGAAATTCTATGCGATGAAATTTTGTAAGATTTGACCAATCTTCTGGATATAAATCTAAGGCTACATATTTTAGATGAAGGAGAAAATTAATAATTTTAATTTGACCTTGAAAAAGTAAAAATGCAAGCCAGGTATGGCAGTGCACATCTATAATCCCAGCACACAGGAGGCTGAGGCAGGAGGACATCAGTAACTTGAGTTGGGAGGTCAGTCTAAGATACATAATGTGTCCCTGTGGAAAGAGAGACAGGGACAGAAAGAGAAAATGAGTGTGGTGGCTCATGTCAGTGATCCCAGCTACTTGGGAGGGGGGAGATCAGGAGGACAGTGCCTGGAGGCTAGCCCAGGAGAAGGCTGGCAAGACTCACATCTCAACGTAGCACACACATCATCCCAGCTATAGCAGTGGTATAAATAGGATTGCATTCCAGCCCAGCCCAGTCCAGGCCAAAAAAACAAAAGCAAGACCCTATTCAGAAAATAATGAAAGGAAAAAGAACTAGGGGCATAGCTCAAGTGGTAGAGTACCTGCCTAGCAAGCATGAGTGAAAGTTCAAACTCCAAACTGCAAAGACGGGAAAAGGAAGGGGGTAAAAAGGAGGAGGGGAGGGAAGAAGGATGGAAAAAAGGTTGTTTTAGCTGGCCAAGCAAATTCATAATAAAATCTGTCACAAAATAAGATAAAGTACAAAAAGGAATGTTACTCTATTAAACTGAAATGCTAACATTATAGTCTCTTTTCAGTTATCATTTGACTGAAATGTTGCTCACTAACAATTCTATCAATATAAAAAAAAAAAGAATTCCTTTTCTATAACTTGAAAAGCTTCACAGAAGAGCTGAGCTTCCATCAATCACTTTTTCATGAGCTCATTCCAAGCTTCAGTCACTGCTTCTACCAGGACAGATAACAGGAGCTGTTGAAGCCTGCTTGAACAGGCTTTCAGGAATATTAAGTCTTGAGATTCTAGGCATTTCTGACTGTAATCAAATCAGAGTTTTTAAAAAAATCCATTTTTTTCAGGCTGCTTCCCTGCTCAAATGTCATTTGATTTGTCATTTCATTCTAGAAATGATGATCAACTATTAGAGGATGTTCAACGATATCTTGCAGGGCTAACCTGCGCTCCCTCCTCCTACACCCTTCTCAGGCGCAGACCCCCAGCAGCTGCTCTTTGGTAGAGTGACTGGAACTTCGTTGCCCAGCAAGGCAGTGTGAAACGCTCACTCTGTTTTAAGTATGGATCATATGTTGCTCAAATATCCTTTCTCCCCGCACTGAAATCGGATGCTTCAAACTGTGAAAACGACCGGGACGAATCCACCTCTACCAGAATGCTGCTGTATAATTACCAATTAGTCGAGAGAGAGGAGGGCTCTCCAACCGCATCCACAACGCATTTTAACCTTGGTGAAGTCTCTCTTGCTTTTCTTAACTTCCTTTGCGGTTCAAGAACCAACCAGTTGTTTCCAAAAGAAAAAAAAAAATCACAGCTCGGACAAATGCCAAGTCCAGAGGACCCTAGGCGCGGCTATTAATGAGAACTTAGCGATAACACCGAAGTTAGCCCCGGGGAGAGGGGCTGGGAGGAGGGGGGGGGGGAGAGGAATGAACTGAAGGCGCCAGTCTCGTGTTTAAATATCTCAACTTGAACTCCATGGAAACAAGAGGGAATTCCTCCTGGCCAGACAGCAATGAGGGTGTTTTTTTTTTCCTTTTCTTTTGTGTGTATGTGCGTGCATATGTGTGTGCATGCATGTATGTGTGCGCGTGCATGTGTATGTGTATGCATGCATGTGTGCGTGCACGTGTATGTGTGCGTGTGTGCGCATATGTGTGTGCATACATGTGTGTGCGTGCATGTGTGCGTGTGCATGTGTGTGTGCGTGTATGTGTACGTGTCTGTGTGTATGTGCGTGTGCGTGCATTTGTGTATGTGTGCATGCATGTGTGCATGTTGTACGTGTGTGTGCATGTGCGTGTATGTGTGCGTGCGTGTGCGTGGAGCACCACTTTATTTTCAACCAACTTTTCAGTTGCGAGCTCCGTCGATCTGTAACTGCCTGGGAGCGCGCGCAGCGCCCCGGCGGGGAAGCGCCGGCTCCGAGGGCTCGGCGGCGGGCGCGGCTCGGCGCCCGGCCCCGCGGGAAGCCCGGGAACGCGGTCGGCGAGGACGCGCGGGACTCAGCCGAGCCCCGAGCCCACGCCTCTCCCCCCGCTCCCCACAACATCCCGCACCGCCGGAACCCCTCAAACCCCAGGGACCCCTACCTGTCGGACCCGCCGGGACGCACCGCGGGGCCCGCGCCTCCCGCCGCGCCGCGTCCGCCTCCCGAGAGCCAGGAAGCCGCCGCGGCCTGCGGCTTCCCGCCACCGCCGCCCGCTCCTTCCTCCACGGACACGGCGAGCTGGCTGAAGGCGTAAAGGAGCGAGCAGAAGCCGCAGGCCAGACACAGCACTACGAGGCGCAGGTAGCGCCGCATCGCCCCGGCCCCGCGCGACCGGCGCCACAGCCGCCACAGCTACCGCCGAGCCGCGCCTGCCCGGGCGAACTGGAGTCGGAGGAATGCCACTGCGCAGCCGCCGGAGCAACAAGTTCCTCCTCCGCCCCGCCCCTGTTCTCCTCTTCCCTCCCACCCCTTAGACCAGATGACAGACAACTCGCCCGGAAGCCGGGGCACCTTCCCCGCTGCTTCGGGCCTTCAGTCAAGAGATGTAGCCCCGCCCCGCTCCGTCCAGCTGCTCCCTGACGCGCCCTTCCCTGAGGCCCATGGGGCCCCGCCCATTCCTGCTGTGTATGGTCGCAAAGCATGAGAGGCTCCGCCCATCCTGCCTGGCCCCGCCCCTCCGCCCACGCGGTCTTCCCTAAGGCCCCGCCCCTCTTCGCCCCGAGGTCCTATAGACCCCGCCCACTCCTTTAGGGCCCCGCCCAAGACCCTCTTGGCCCCTCCCATCCCCGTGGTGCCCCGCCCTAAGGGCCGCCTGGCTTCTTTTCTCTCCGGGAAGGGTCTGGATCTGGGGCGGCTTCTGTCGTCTCTGAAGCCAGCAGGGTCCGAAGCGCCTGCGCGCTGAGAGCAGTGGGTGTTCCCCAAACCCGAGGTCAGTAATCCGGGAGTTCTGTTCTCGGTGGCGCCAAGGAGGGGAGTGGCAAGAGGAGTTGGGCTCAGGACATCATTGACCTACATTCAACCTGAAGCTTTGTGAGATGGTAAAAACTAGGTTCCCTTGAGGATGTTTTTCTCGTCTCTAAAATGGAAGATTTGAACCCGCACGCAAGGTGACTGTGACAAGGAAATTGAGGAAAGACTAAAAACACCTGACAGTAGGCACTTCTAGGATGCAACAGAAACTTCCTTTGCCTCTAGAAATTTTTTTCCTCTGGCATCAGTAATGGGGTTTGAGTCAAGGACTTGCACATGCTCAGTGCCCTACCTCTTGAACGATGCTTCCAGTCCAGCCTTTTCTGATTATTTTGGTAATGGAGTCTCAAAGACTTTTCTGCCTGGTTTGGCTTCAAACCTCTATCCTCTGGCTCTCAGCCTCCTGAGTAGCTAGAATTACGGGCATGAGCCACCAGCACCTGATTTCTCAGCTGCTAAATTTCTATAATACCATTACACAATCCATTTCAGCCACTTCAGGGTATAGCCTCATAATGTTCATAGTTCCCATGCCTACCTTGTCCCCACTTCCCATCAGGCTGTAGGTAACTGTAAGGCAGGGGACCACTCTTTTACATCTATTTGATTCCTTACAATTCATTTCTATATGCAAAGCAAAATTAGGATTCTCCACTAAAAAGCTACTCCTTGGGCTGGGAAGGTGGCTTAGTGGTAGAGTTCTTGCCTAGCATGCATGAAGCCCTAGGTTCGTTTCCTTAGTACCACATACACAGAAAATCCAGAAGTGGCACTGTGGCTCGAGTAGTAGAGTGCTAACCTTAAGCAAAAGAAGTTCAGGGGCAGTGCCCAGGCCCTGAGTTCAAGCCCCAGGAATGGTGAAAAAAGAAAGCTTTCCTTTTTCCACTCTCCCTGTTCCTCATCTGTTTCCATTCTACTCATTCATAGATGGTTTATAGAGCAATGCATGAGTGCTTTGGGGTGTAGGGAAGCAGCCTAGTGGGGTATGGATGGGAAAGTAGATTACTCATAAATGTGACCAAGCATTGATGGTTCACATCTGTAATCCTAGCTACTCAGGACTGAGATCTGAACATCACAGTTCTACACCAACCCAGGCAGAAAAGTCTGGGAGACTCTTTTCTCCAATTAACCAGCAAAAATGCCAGAAGTGGAGTTGTGACTCTAGTGGTAGAGCACTAGTCTTGACACAGACATTAGGACACAGACCTGAACGTGTGTACACACATACCCAAAGGTACAACCAGTCCTCACTTCAAGTGTGGTTAAGAGAAACTTCATTGCAAAGGTAGCCCAAGGGGGCAGAAGAGGGGTATGGGAATTAATTCTAGTCTGAAGGATTGATGAAACAGGCTCTTGTGTTCCAGAGTCTGTGAGAATTTTGATACCACCAGCTAAGTAAATTCAAGAGCAGATATGTTAACAGATAAGATAGGAAGGGGCCAGACTTTGAGTGCCCTGGGTTTGGCATACCAAGGAGTTTGAACTTAATTTGTTAGACAATGGTGAAGCATTGAAGACTGTTAACTAAAGATGTAACATGATGACATTTGCATTTTAGGAAGCAGATTCTAACTGCAGCCGAAGCTGGACAGAGCTGAGATTGGAAAAAGCCGCTCCAGTGCCAAAAAGTTAGGCTTCAAAATACACGCATATTGGGCTGGGAAAATGGCTTAGTGGTAGAGTGCTTACCTTGCATGCATGAGGCCCTGGGTTTGATTCCTCAGCCCCACATAAGCAGAGAAAAAAAAAAGCTGGACGTGGTGCTATGACTCAAGTGGTAGAGCGCTAGCCTTGAGCTGAAGAGCTGGGGCACAGCGCACAAGCCCAGAGTTCAAGCCCCACAACAGACTAAAAAAAAAAAAACATGCATATTTAATGGATAAAAATGATGCTCATAGGGGCTGGGAAGATGGCTCAGTGGTAGAGTGCTTGCCTTGCATGCCTGAGGCCCTTCGATTCCTCAGCACCACATAAGCAAAAAGAAAAAAAGCTGGAAGTGGCGCTGTGGCTCAAGTGGTAGAGCGCTAGCCTTGAGCTGAAGAGCTGAGGGACAGCGCCCAGGCCCACAGTTCAGGCCCCACGACCAGATCCCCCCCCCAAAAAATGATGCTCATATATTGTCCAAATTGCATCTTAAGTCATTGAATTTCATCACAAAATACAATATGGAGGAAATGTGTGTAAAAAATGCCAAGTCTGTGGCCCTGAAAAACTTAATGTTCTGGTTTCTCAATAAGGATTACATTTCTTTCCCTATTGAACAAAAACTTAAAAACAAGCATTCTATCAAGATGTATGAAGCTATGTCTCAAGTAGTAGAGTGCCAGCCTTGAATGAAAAAGCTAAGGGTCATTGCTTTGGCTCTGAATTCAAGTCCCACTTTCAACATGCACAAACACATACACACACACACACACACACACACACACACACAAAGAGAATAAAGACATTTGTTCACTCAGTAAAACATTTATTGAATATTTTCTACATGCGGAACAAGGGGCTCAGATACATGGTATTCTGAAATATGGGTACTTTCCTCAAAGGGGAGTCAGACCACTAAAACATGAATACTAAATAAATCTGCTATACCTTATAATTCTTAGGGGAATGAAGATAAAACTTAATGAAGTACAGAGAAAGATACTAAAAGCATTGATAAGAAAAGTTTTTGAGAAAGTTAAAGGATGTAATACCAAGAAACTAGAGTAAGAGCTAGTACTTAAACAGTTTAAAAGATGCTGACTACAATTGTTCTCTATTCCAATAAAGAAGTGACATGGCGTGAAAATTAACAATAAATCTTTTATTGTTCACACATGGTTAAAATATTGGAATGGCATAAAGGAAAGCCAGGCCATTTTTGTTTCTGCAACAATCTATGGGATGAGCCCATCCAAAAGAAGAATAATTCATATATTTGACATCAAGGTTCTGTTGGACATCATTCCATCCCTTTAAGTCCCTTTGTAATTATAAATTCTGTTGCCAAAGAATATAAGGCATTCTAAAAGTAGAAGTGGTTTTTGTATTACTCACACACCATCTTTTTTTTTTTTTTTTTGGTGCCATTCCTGAGGCTTGAACTCAGGGTCTAGGCACTGTCCCTTAGCATTTTTGTTCAAGGTCAAGACTCCAACACTTGAACACTGTTCCACTTCTGGATTTTTGGTGGTTAATTGGAGATAAGAATCTCCCAGACTTTCCTGTCCAGCTCACTTGAAGCCTCAATCATCAGGTCTCAGCCTCCTGAGAGGCTGAGGATTACAGAGTCTCTGGCACTCAGCTTAAGTGGTTAAAGTATTGAGAATAGTATTCATGTTGTCATCACCTCAGATCATTGCCACTAATCACACCTTGCACTTCTGTATTCCTAAAATTGTGCTTGAAAATTATTATTTTCAATAATTACTTTCATGTATTTTCAATAATTACTTTCAAGGTATTTTCCCTTTATTGTATGCATGTATTCCTGAATCTGCTTCTCTCTAGAACTAGTCTCTTGATTTTCTAATGATAGGCTGATTATATAAATGTTTTTCCCCCCTCTACCTCTTGAGTAGCTAAGTTTATAGGCATGAGCCACCAGTATGGCTTCATGTATATATAAATATATATATATATGTATATTTATATATACATATATATAATTTTCACTTTGTAAAAATATGTGCATAATATAATCTAGTCATACATCCATTTCTAGGAAGAGATGTTATTTTATTTAAAAATAAATAATTCCCATGGTCTGTAATATGATGCAGGAGGATCAAAAGTTCCAGGCCAATTTGGACTACATAACAAGACCTTGTCTCAATAAGAAAAACAGAAAGAACTGAAATTCAGAAAGGTTCCTTAGTCATATGGCTAATGAAGACCATAATTAAATCTTCTGAACAAATATACGTTGTACTGAGTGGTACCCATCAGAACTGAAAACAGAAAGGGAAATTCTGAAACATGAAAATCTCCTAGACTGATTTTAGAGATTAAAAAACAACTTTAAAAGTACAAGTCAAATTAGTTGGACAACACAAGGACTCAGAAACTCAGACCAAAAGTGAAAATTATTCTCACCTGTATTTGGCAATATAGTGTATGTCTCCATTTTCCACTGTTTTCCAATTCTCGTGGACCTTTTTGAATTGGAGAATTGGAAGATAATGCTGACAAAAAGTATTTGAACAAAAAATATTTTGTTGTGTTTGTTCAGATCAGTGGCAAGGAGTCACATCTCAAAGGAAGGACAAAAGAATAAAGTAATTTTCTTCATTCTGAAGAAAGTAGCTATAGACCCCAAGATTAGTAGAAGAGGCATTAGAGAAGCAAACATGGTGGTCCACACCTGTAATCCCAGCACTAAGGAAGCAGAGGCAGAAAGGTCTTGCGTTTTCAGTCAGCCATGACCATGAAGGTGGATTGGGGAAGGTCTTAGAAATCAACGGAAGTGTAGACTTCATGTTCCTCCAAATCCTGAGGCTGCAAATTGCCTTGTGTTTCTAGCTACAAGGGAGAAAGAAGCAGCTGGCCTGGGGGAAGGGTGGATGTTCTATGGACATTTTATGTCACCCTGGCTTTATCTTCACAAACCTTCCATTCTATGAATACTTTGTTTGCCGTACTGGGAGTTGAACCCAGGGGCTTATGTATGTTAGGAGTGTGATCTGCCACTGACCTACATTCTCAGTCCTCTAATCTATTTTAGAAAAATAAAACTCCCAAACAACATCTTTCTAAACCTATCATCAATCAAGGCTCAAGTTTAACCATATTAAGGCCCAAATAATGGGACTCTCTTGGCCCATGGTCTAGGCTGGTCTACACAAGGACACTACAAAATAATGAAAGTTATTGGGAATGGGATAATGGCTCTAGTGGTGGCCTATCTGGGGAGGCATAATTAACACCCCAGTACATTGCCATTCCCCCCCCTCCCCAGCTGAAATTAAGAATTACAATTCCATCAAAAGTCCAATGCTGGTGGTTGCCGGGCGCTGGTGGCTCACGCCTGTAATCCTAGCTACTCAGGAGGCTGAGATCTGAGGATCGCAGTTCAAAGCCAGCCCGGGCAGGAAAGACCGTGAGACTCCTATCTCCAATAAACCACCAGAAAACCGGAAGTGGCGCTGTAGCTCAAGTGGTAGAGTGCTCGCCTTGAGCTGAAGAGCTGAGGGACAGCGCTCAGGCCCAGAGTTCAAGCCCCACGACCGACAAAAAAAAAAAAGTCCAATGCTGGTTGAGTGCTGGTGGCTCACTCTTGTAATCTAGCTTCTCAGGAGGCTGAGATCTGAGGATTGTAGTTCAAAGCCAGCCCAGGCAGAAAAGTCTGTGAGACTCTTATCTCTAATAAACTACCCTAAAAGAGCTGGAAGTGGAGCTGTGGCTCAAATGGTAGAGTGCTACCCTGGAGCAAAAGAAGCTCTGGGACAATGTCTAGGCTCTGAGTTCAAGCCCAGGACCAACAACAATAAATAAAGTTCAATGCTTACCTGAAACTGAATTCAGCATTATTCTTGTCACACATATTCCTCTCTAGAATCAAATAAATAGGCAATCCTATGTCATTCTTCTATGTCAGGCTTCTGTCATTCTTCCAGTAAGTAAAGTTAAAAAAAAGTTCTTAGCTTAGAGGTGGTGGTGCACTTCTCTTATCCCAGTTCTCAGAAGGCTTCTGCAGGAGAAATGGAAGCTAAAAGCCAGCTTAGTCGATACAGTGAATCCCCCAAACAAGAAAAAAATACTTGTTCTTCAGCTTTTGTTCTGCCACTGTGGTTACTGTGCCTTCCAGAGCTTCTCATCATGTCTTCTCCCAAGACTTTCAGAATCAAGCAGTTTCTGGCCAAGAAACAAAAGCAAAATCGCCCCATTCCCCAGTGGATTCGGATGAAAACTGGTAACAAAATCAGGTACAACTCCAAGAGAAGACACTGGAGGAGAAGCAAGCTGGGTCTGGAAGGATTGCTTCAAATGCCCACATATTTATGCTCTACCATGAACCAGTCAAGCTGAAACATCAATACTGGACTGACAGTTGGGCATGTTGTAAATTGATTTTTCTTTGGTCATTTTAATAATAGGCACAGTAATAAACATTAGATTTGAATCATCAAAAAAGAAAAAAATACTTTTTGATCCTTACTAATCAAGTAGAAGTATCCCTCAGACTGTTTATCTTATTCTATGCTATAAATATAAGCTTTTTAAAATTTTTTTGGTAATAAACACCCCCCTAGAACCTGAAGCTCTTCAGGGAACTCAACTTATTCAATGTCATGTTTACCAATTTTCTTTGTCCTTTACTTGTCTTCTCCCAAGCTAGTTTTTCAGTCCTTCCCATTCTTGCTACTCTCCTAAGCAGACAGAGGGCCATTTCATTGTTGCTATAATTAGGAATTAAAAGTGAATAAAGACAGCCGGGTGCTGGTGGCTCACGCCTGTAATCCTAGCTACTCAGGAGGCTGAGATCTGAGGATCGTGGTTCAAAGCCAGCCCGGGCAGGAGAGACCTTGAGACTCCTATCTCCAATAAACCACCAGAAAACCGGAAGTGGCGCTGTAGCTCAAGTGGTAGAGCGCTCGCCTTGAGCTGAAGAGCTGAGGGACAGCGCCCAGGCCCAGAGTTCAAGCCCCACAACCGACAAAAAAAAAAAAAAAAGTGAATAAAGACACATATTAATAAGTCAACAATGATTAAATCTTCCTTGGTTCCCAGTTTAGATTTGTGTGTGTGTATGTGTGTTGGTCCCTGAGCTTTTGTGTTCAAGGTTAGGGCTGTACTACTTGAGCCACAGCTACACTTCTGGCTTTTTTGGTGCTTAATTGGAGATAAGATTCTCACAGACTTTTCTTGCCTGGGCTGGCTTTGAACTGTGATCCTCAGACCTCAGTCTCCTGAGTAGCTAGGATTACAGGCGTGAGTCATTAGTGTGCCTGGCTAGTTTCTGAATTCTTGCTAACGGCATTTACGTAGGAAGGTAAAGATGAGATGGTAGCTTTTATCCACTCTCTCCCTCTATGGAGGTCAGCAGATGAAAGCTAGGTTGTCATTCTCAGGACATGTAAGAACCACAGGCATTTCTCTGGAATTCCAGTAGGACTCTTCTGTTTCATCGGATCTTTGCCACCCAAACTTCCCTTTGGTGCTTATCCTCTTTCCTTGAAATAAAGTTTTTAAAAAATAATTACTGTTTAGTTTTAATTACACCATAGAGATGAAGCAGTTTATAAGAACAGAAAGAAAACATAAACTCAGGATCAGGAAAAATACAGGTAAATCAAGAATAATAAATTAGAAAGAAGTGCAGCAGTGGTCCTCACTAGACACTATGTTGAAAATGAATACAGAACTTGTGGGTAGGGATGGGAAAGAAAAACTGGAGAGAGCAAGAGAAGATGTGACATTGTCCAAAAAGCAATATACTATACTCATTACCTGACTTATGAAACTGTAACCACTCTGTCTATCACCTTTATAATAACAAAGAAAAATTTTAAGAGTAAAAACTTAGGATATGGGCAGGAAGAACACTGAGTCCTAGTAAATTCATACAGCTGAACCAAATTTTTTTTTTTTTTGGTTGGTCATGGGGTTTGAACTCTGGGCCTGGGCACTGTCCCTCAGCAATTCAGCTCAAGGCGAGTGCTCTGCCACTTGAGCTAAAGCACCACTTCCAGTTTTCTAGTAGTTTATTGCAGATAAAGAGTCTCACGGAGTTTTCTGCCCGGGGTTAGCACTGTGGCTCAAGTGGTAGAGCACTCGCCTTGAGCTGAAGAGCTGAAGGACAGCACCCAGGCCCAGAGTTCAAGCCCCACAGCTGACAAAAAAAAAAAAAAAAAAAAGAGGTCTAGAACTACAGATCCCCAAGATCTGAATTCCAAATCTTTACACTTTGCAACCAGCTGCAAGCAAGTGCAGTGCCTCACATCCAAAATGATCTTTATAAATATTCACTGAATTAAGCAGCACTGATACAAAGAAAATCTAGATCAGGGAAATACAGAAAAAGAATACAACATTAACCATTATTCTAGATACTTCCACTAATGGAGGAAGATAAGACTTAGCATATGAAATGTGAACCAGAGCACTAGTCTTGCAGAATTCGAATTGATCTTTCCATTCCAAGATCTGGTCTTATCATGGTATTTCCTATGCTTCAGAACTGGCCCATTTCACAAAGCCAGGAAGAACTGCACTGACTAAACACAGAGCCTAATTAAAACATTAAACATGTAACATTTAAATGACCTGGGAAAGTGACAATGTGAGTTGGGGAAAGTCAAAGAAAACTTCTGTATGATACCTTCCTAATGGCTTTTGATGAAAAGCACCAAAAAGGACTTGATTCTAAAAATCATCATAAGCATTTCACATACTATTCCCTAATGAAGAGTCTAGTACAAGTTAAACTTTAATTAAGGACTGAGTCATGATGACTTATCAGAGCACATAATCAAAATGTCCTCCAAGACTAACATGCTGACAGTTCTACTTGTTCTCTCCCTCCTCTGATTCTCTTATTATACAGACTGTATCCTAGTGCTGTTTCTACTTTTGCTTTTGATATTGTGTGGGGATTGTTTTTTTTTTTATCACCCTTAATACTCATATTTCCTTCTGCCTTCAAGAAAAGATCCATCACATCCTGTGCTCTGAAACTGTCTTCCGTGTCTGTGTGTGTGCACGTGCACAACTGGAGATAGGCTCATAGAATTTCTTGCGTGGATTGGTTTTGTATGATCCTCAGATCTCAATCTCCTGAGTACATTTTCAAAGTACAGGGCAGAAATTTGTGTCAATGGCTTACTAGTTCCTGCATTAGGTCCCTTAAAGAGTCTAAAAAGAGTTAATTTGCAGACCAAAAACCTAAAATAAGGGCCTCAGTTTTCTGAAAACTTCTAGACCATTTAGCCTCAATGCATAGAATAGTCAAAAGTACATTCTTTTGCACAAGATTTGTGGCTAAAAAAAAAGTTAACATGTTCTATCAACTTACAAGGCTAAGGCTTTCCTTCCTCTTATTAATATTTTTGCTTTGTCTATTACCACTGTAATTTTAGAAAATAAAATAGAAGTAGAATAAAATAAAAGTAGAAAATAAAGCATTTAAATTGTTAAGCCAACACTTTGTTTTGTAATATAGAAGTTTTAGGGTTTTTTGGCCGGTAAGGGGGCTTGAACTCAGGGCCTGGGCATGGTCCCTCAGCTTCTTTTGCTCAAGGCTAGCATTGGAGCCACAGTGCCACTTCTGACTTTTTCTGTTTATGTGGTACTGAAGAATTGAACCCGGGGCTCATGAATGCCAGGCAAGCACTCTACCAGTGAGCCACATTCCTAGCTCCTGCAAAAGGTTTTAAGAATATGATTGTGTGTATGTGCCTCAACAGTGCTGCTTTAGGCTTCTTCTGACAGGGCTGGCTTCAAATGACCATCCTTAGAGCTCTCAGCTCCTGAGTAGCTAGAATTACAGGAGACACTGCATCCCTCTGTGATAAAATCTTAAGTCTTAATAGCAGAGTTTTGATTTAAGAACAAAGAATATCCTCACTGTACTATTATTTTAATTCTTGATATCCCCTAAAATGAATATATATAACATTTTTTTGTGGTGGTGGTTGTTGTTTTGTTGGTCGAGACTTGAACTCTGGGCCTGATTGCTGTCCCTGAGCTCTTCAGCTTAAGGCAAGTGCTCTACCACTTCAGCCACAGCACCACTTATGTTTTCTTTTCTGATTTATTGGAGATAAGAGCCTCACGGACTTTCCTGCCTAGGCTGGCTTTGAATTGTGATCCTCAGATCTCAGCCTGAGTAGCGAGGAGTATAGGTGTGAGCCACCAGCACCCGGCTATATAGAACATTTGAAATGTTTCAGAGTATGACAAAAAAAAAAAAATCATGTCTCAAAAGAACATGCTTATAGCAAAGGTAAAACTCTGAAAAAAAAATCCAAATTTCTTTTGTATGGAAGTTGGTTAAATGAACCCATGGCTAAAAACCACACTGTAAGTTTACAAAACAGAGTTAAAAATGTAGCTTAAGTTGAGATTCTGAATATTTTTGCATATTTTAACATCAGGTGCAAATATGTATGGAATTTGCATGTTTTCCTAGTATAGAAGTATATTTGAGGTAGAGTGGAAGGAAGGCGGGTGGGTGGAGAAGACTGTGACTTATGAGAGGAAAACAAAATTCTGAACTGGGCAACTCAAGTTCATTTCTCCAGACTCACACAGTATACCACCTGGCTCTTCATGCACATGCAGTCTTCCTTGGGACCACAGCCAGCATCCGTAGAACCTACACAACACTTTTCTTTCACATCACCCCAGAAGACATAAAAAACAATTGTGCATTTGTGTAAATGGAATCTTACCTATGATGGTAAAGGCTCACATTGACTGAGCAACCAGCTTTTGTCATACTATTCAGAAATCTTCCATGGACTGATACTTAGTCCAATAATCCTATTGAGTTAGATATTACTATCATTCTCTCTTTTATGGACCAGAGATTATTCACTCCAGCTTATATCTGAGTTCTCCACCCCAGATTCAAAACTGATACTTCAGGTGGCACTTTTGTTTTTGTGCCAGTCTTGGAGGCTTGAACTAAGGGCTTGGGTACTGTTCCTAAGCTTTTTTGCTCAAGGTTAGAGCTCTACCACTTCAGCCATAACTCTACTTTTGGCTTTTTGGTGGTTAACTGGTGATGAGTCTCAGGTCCAGACTGGCTTCAAGACTCAGTCCTCGAAACTCAACCTTCTGAGTAGCTAGGATTATAGGCTCCAGCCAGTACTCAGCTTCAATTGGTACTCTCAAATCTGCCATACTACTTTCCTACCTATGGCCTTGGCTCAGGATAAAAAAAAAAAAAAACCCTTCTTCTGTTAAGATTTTTATCTCTTGGGGCTGGGAAGGTGGCTCAGTGATAGAGCGCTTGCCTTGCATGCATGAGGCCCTGGGTTCGATTCCTCAGCACCACATAAGCAAAAAGAAAAAAGCCAGAAGTGGCACTGT